ATGCTGTGGCATCTTTCACTTTACCAAAACTGTCTAGACCTACAATGCAGACTCCTATTCTATTCTATATCATCTGAAATCCGGTTTCGTGTTGTACGTATTTGTTTTTTGTACCTGATCGTACACATGTAATTATATAAAAACTAAAAAACAACATTATTTGTGTAAATGAATTAATTCAAGCAACAAAAATTTAGTAGTTGAAAGAGTTGTCCGTTTTGCTCTAAAACTTCAATTCCTGCAAGTATAGCTGAGTTGTGTTCAACTAAACTGGCCAGGTTTCACACAGTAAATCTTGAGTATGTTGAAGCCAGAATAGGATTATATATAATTTTCCACATTACACTTTATGTAATATTTCAGTTTGGAGGTGCTTTGTGGGGTTTTTCAAATGTGAAATATGCACTGTGGCTCAGAAAAGGTTTACTGGAGGACTCATCTTCTTCATGTCCTGGCACCACAATAAATGCACGCACTGCCAATGTTACCAAACTAGTTTCATATAAAATAATTTCTAATACTAAATGTTATAATTATAATTTGGCGAAGTTGTTCCTGGCTTTAGTTAAAAAAAGAGAAGTAGTTTTTGCAAAGTTGGTGTTTACGATAACATGACTGATCAAATCCAAGCAGTGACCTCTGATCTCGTGTGCGTGCATTTCTTACCTGACAGAGTAGCTCCATGACAAACCCCGCACAGTTTGCGTGTCCGTAGTAATCGAAGTTGTTCATGATGCGGTAGAACTCTGTCATTAGCTGCTGATCTCGGTGATAGTCACAGCAGCCAAAATCCTTGTACATGGCGCAAAACTCGAGCTGTTTGTGCGCTTTAAACGGGGGCTTAAAGTCCAGGCACTGGGGATGTGAAGAAGCAGGTGTGACCATCAAACACAGCAGAACAACGGATCTCAGTCCCAGGCCCGCATCGGGACTGAACCACTGCATTTTGAAGTACAGAAGAACGCCTGGAAGCTTCGTCTAGCGGCGCACAGAAAAAGCAGAGGCTTAGTTGTTGTGGCGTGTGGGTGCACTTTGCCCTGTCTGTCCTTCTGACCCGGTAAATTACATTACTGGGGCTGAGACATCTGTCGTCACCCACCTTTGACGAACCACATTTTAGACCGTGAGATAGATTCAGCTAATTCTGTCCGTAATTTGCTTAGTGACATTGAAAGCTGCCAGTAAGGGACCACAGCGGATTGATCTTCACGAAATGCAACAGCGCACAAGCAATTCTTTCCCGGTGTGTTTAGCAACACAGCAACTACTCTCTTTAGTTTTTGTAGTCATTTTCTGGGGCAGTTGCTAAACTGTTCTTAGCACTGTTTCACCCTTTCTTTATTGGACGTTTAAGACAGAAGTGAGCGACAAAAAAGAGGGAAAAACATGGATGTAATACGATTTCCAATGACTAATAATACCAGGGCACAGTGTAAAGCATGTAAGATGGAAATCTCATATATAGGTTGCTCTAACAACAACAACTGATGACAGAGATAACCTCCTTTGAGAAAATATACTCATTTTACATTATTGATTGCAGCCATTTGGCCTTAAGAAATCCTCAAAAGATTCCTATCAATAGAAAAGAAATAATTCAGGGCAGCTGTTTACTTTTTATGCTAAACAACTTGAACTGACTTTAAAAGGGACAATCGTTATGAATAAAAGACATGTTTTTATTGGTACCATTTCAGAAACAAAAGCAAAAACAGATTTTCAACATTAACTTGCTGTTGCCCTGAAAGTGCCTGTTTTTATGTTGAGATTGTGGCACTGGACTCGGAGGGTTTTTATTTGATTTTTCCCCCTGTTTTTTCTGTAACATCTAGATAAGTGGCAAACTTTGGTTTTATATTTGATTCAAAAACATCAATGTTTAACTGGAGATTTACATGAAGTATTAGTTACTAATTTGTGAAGGGAATACGACTGTCAAAAGCACCTTGTTTGTTAAACGTAACCACATGACACTGTTCGGACACTTTTAATTGTCATTTTGCACACAATGTGAGTCAGTTGCAATGAATAACAAAATATTCATGCATTTATAATTGTGTGTTTATTACAAAATATTCATGCATTTATAATTGTGTTTATTACATAAAAATATTTTTTTGATAATATATATACATATATAATAACAATAATTATTATTATTATTGTTGATGTTGTTGTTGTTGTTGGTGGTGGTGGTGGTGGTGGTGGATCTTCGCACAACCGCTTCCTGCTTCGTTCACTTACTTAGGACGCCTTAGCCCTCCTGATGACTGACATGTACATGAACCAATCAGAGCACTTCAGACCATCTATGGTCGCATTCTTTTCCGAACGCAAATGTATAATAAGAGTTACGACTCGAAGGGCAGCCCATGAGGTTGATCCATCAATCACAGGGCCAGCTAAGTCAAGGTTGGTTTACGTGCAGGCACAGTGACATCGCTTCTTCAGTCAAATTTCGAGGTAAGAGTGGCCCTAAAATGTGAAATGCTGCACAACATAGTTAAGTGTTCAGATATGCTCGAAATACGCTAAACAGCAACTTATATGCTGCAGTCGAGCGTACAAAAATGTATGTCGCTGGCTACAGCGTTTCAGCGGACAGGGTTGGTTTAGCAGTAGGTAGGCTAAACAGCTTAAACTTATGCTGAGTCCGTGCCAAGGCTAAGCATTAGCAGGTAGCACTTAGCTCATCGGCTAACGTAAGTCAGAGCTGATGAATGGGTCCAGTCAGTTACCGAGTGTTGTTCTGGTAGGGGCTACGTGCTTTCTGTTAGAAAGTAGTTGCTGGAGAGGTCGTTGGACTTAGTGATGCTGTATGATCTTGTAAGATTGTGGTACATGCGAAGGGAGCGGCAGCAGGGATATAACCGAAGCACACAGTGTATAAATGAGACGGGGCGAATGGTCGTCTTCGGCTGTCATTGACTAGTAGTTTATACCTACAGTGTCTTGTAACAAACATTGGAAAGCTACTGAAAATCAAATATCAGTTGTTCAATTAATTTTGTCCCAGTAGCTATTTTTAGACCTTTAGCCCAAAGCACTTTTCAGAGTCCTTTCTGGTACGTCTTCCTTTTTTTCCCGTTTTTTTTTCTTTTTTTTTTTACCAGGGTTGATTGACATAGACGTGTGACCAAGCTGCCTATGCATTTAAATGAACCGCTATCATCACTATTGACAATGAGGTCGAATCACATGACTTAATAAGGAGGATTTTTCCAACTGATACTGAACACCTGTCTGACCCTAATGATACCAACTTTAAGAAAGTAGTTTTGTATTTAAGAAATACTGACCAACATATTACCTTTTGGTGACGTTAACCTGAATATAGTAAGTGGTGAGATGGAGATCTTACCAAACAAAAAATGACAGTTTTGACTCTTTTAACGGTATATTTATTGTATTTACAGTAACATTGTATATTTCTATGCATTATCTATATATATATATATACATATAGACACTTCTTACTTTCTGACCTACCTGTACCTTTTGACCTTTAATTGTGCCTTTTTTATTTATTATAATGTAATGTAAATCGCTTTGGATAAAAGTGTCTGCTAAATGTATTGTAATGTAATATATGTTAAATAGATCTGCAACTCAGAATTATTTCAATACTTATATATTTTTTTTATTAAGAGTATTTTTTTGGCTAGAATGGTGTAGTGGAGAAGCAAGAAGGGGTTTCCTCAGACAAAGGGATTCCTCGTTCAGAAAATGTCAGTACTTCTTGAAATAGTCAATTAATTATGACAAGGCTAATGTTTAAAAGTTAACTCAAGTAGAGATGGTGTGATTACATCGTGTTTCTGTCCCAGTGTTGTAGGGGTGAGTTTGAATGTTGATTGTGGTCTTTAATAAACATAAAACACAAAAATGTTTCCAATGTGCTCAGGTGTTTTGATTTAATGGTTTAATGTTCTGAAAGAACAAGAACAGAAAGAAGAAAAACAGGAAACCTCAACAGTAGAAACACTCATGTTGGAATACTTGTTTAACTGGCATCTTGCTAACTTACATTTTGCAGTGTTTTACTTGTTTTGTGTTTGTTTTTGAGAACAAAAGCAGAAATGCTAAAGGTAGTAATAGAGCCCCAAATTCTTTGTTTACTGCTGTTGGCAGCTCTTTTTAGGGGTCACTACAACAGATCTACTGTCCTAACGATTCCTTCCTTCTATTCTGTTACATCATACTTTCTACAGTATGTCCTCTCACAACACCCTTTGAAAATATTTTTGAATGAAGCTTATTTTTGATTGTATCCATGTAAAACATGAGTAAATACATTAGAAATAAACTGGAAACATTAACAGCATTTGTCTTATTTGTCCAGTTGTCTGTCTAGAACCATGGGGAAGAAAAGTCGGGTGAAGACTCAGAGGTCCGGTTCTGGAGCCAGTGCAGTGGTGTCCTACAAAGAGATGATGAACCTCATCTCTGAACTGCTGCAGAGTAGGTTTAAGTCACACTTGCACATTTTTTGCTTTATACTTGTACATACTAAAACTCTAGGGATCCAAAATAAATGAAAAGTAACGTTCCTCTAACCGTTCCTGAGGCCTAAAATGAATGCACAGTCAGTTATTATTTTTTTATGCATATGTATTTCAGACTTTTTTATGATGCTGAGGTTCAGTTCAGTTTAAAGCACTTCACTGAATCTTTTAAAACGTTTCTTTATTGTCGATTATTAGAAAGCACTGTTTTGTCATATAATATTACAATATTATTCCCTTACAGAACCAAGTCCAGATACTGCCTTTATTTTCATGTTGTAAGGACGCATGAATATATTAGATGGCCACAGTTCATGTGCTGCCTCACGTTGTGGCCCTGTACCAACTTGCATACTGTATGTTGTGGTTCAACTAAAACATTAACTGGGTTGTTTGTGACGACCTTGTGCTTTATTTCAGAATGCAGTAGTGCAGCTCCCTCTCCTGGTAAAGAGTGGGATGAAAACATTCAGATCAGAGCCCTCGTGGAAAAGATCCGTAAAAAACAGAAAGGTGAGGTATTTTTTTGCTTTTTTTGGTAAAACGAAATGAATAAATCAAATCAAATATTTAAATGTGTATTCAAAATGAGGTCTGTTAAAAGCAGTGGGTTAATAACATTAATTTGTGAAATTAATCGGATTAGTGTAATGCATTCGTAAGCATGTTGAGAAGAACAGCCTTAACAAATTGATTGTGACTAGATGGACTAATAATTTGCAACCAATTTGAGAGCATGTTGAGAGGTTGTCAATGCCTCTTAATTGTGATGGCCATAATATTTACATATATGTATGTACATACATATACATCAAATATATATATATAAGAAATGTAGTAATAAATGTTTGTGAAAAGGAAAATGGTTGGTTTAGTAACTGTAAACTTTTGTCAGTTCAGGTTTATCTGTGGTGTTTGAGGGTACCAGAGAGGACCACTTCCCAGACTTGTTGTCCTGGGCTAAGGAGTGTGGAGCTTCCTGTGAGGGCTTCACTTTGACCAACTTTGGTGCAGAAGGATATGGCCTGCAGGCGACCTGTGACATCAAGGTGAGTCCATCCATAGATTACGATAAGAGCAGACTACACAATCAATAATCTTGAGTAAAAAAAAAAAAATCAACAGTTATCAGTAATAATTAACTTTATCTTTATGTAATGTGACAAACAAAACATCAACATCAAACAGTGTCATTGGGAAAATATGTAGTGAGGGGCTCATTTTTACAAACAATAAAACAAGTGGTTGGTATCTGCATTAAAGAGAATTCCAGTTCTGAAAACTGTAGCCTTTAATGACTCGTCTGACTGCTTACTGTCAAACTGTCATGACATACAGTGTATGTTGTACAGTGCCATTTTTAATCATATTCTAGTATGACATTTGGTGACATGCTACTACACAGTGAGTGGGCCTGAGGCGAGGACAAAATTAATTGTATCAGTATAAAGAGCTCAGAATTTATATACAGTACATACAATTTTGGTGTTTAATTCTGTGACCCACAGGCTGAAGAACTTTTTCTGTGGATTCCAAGAAAGATGCTGATGACAGTGGAGTCGGCTCAAAATTCCATACTTGGTAAGATCATGTTGAGTAAAAAAAAAGGCTGTGTCTCAATACCTTACCTTTCCTGTCATCACTTGGATAACATAACTTTGTGGAATGATTTGTCAGCAGACATTTGGTGATGATTGTAACTCTGGTATTTTTAAAGTCTTAGGAGTTGCAACGAATGAGTCTTCTGCAGATGCCATTCAACAAGACAAAGAGACTTTTTGTGTTCACACAGCAGTGTTCACCTGCCATTGACTGTTATGCCTTTGTTCAGGTCCTCTGTACAGCCAGGACCGGATCCTACAGGCCATGGGCAACGTGACTCTGGCCCTCCACCTGCTCTGTGAGCGTGCAGACCCACTGTCACCATGGCAGCCGTACATCCGCAGTCTTCCTCAGGAATATGACACACCGCTATACTACCAGCAGGATGAGGTGGAGTTGCTCCTGGGCACACAGGCAGTGCAGGATGTTCTCAGCCAATATAAAAACACTGCACGCCAATATGCCTACTTTTATAAACTGGTCCAGGTAAATAACTGTACAAACACGAACCCTCATGATATTTATACATGGTTTTATTTGTCAGGTTTTCTTCTTTTCTTGGGTTTTACACACACACACACACACACATAAATACACCCACACTGTCCAAGCCAATGAAGCAGATTCTTGATTGCTGCTAGCAAATGGAACAGTTATGTATGAACTTTGGGTTTGCTACATGGGACTCCTGATTTCCTTTTTTTTTTTTTTAAACATACTTCTCCAGTAAAACCAAATCTTCAATAAACTGTTAACAGGCATTAATGTAAATTATATTCCTTACACTGTTTGTTTTCCCTCCCATTATCATCAGACTCATCCAGCAGCCAATAAACTGCCCCTGAAGGACAGCTTCACTTTTGATGACTACAGGTCTGTCTGTCGGCCTGTCTATTTGTCTGTGTTGAGTTGCACCTTTTTTCATGTGTCCTACATTGTGTATGTCTTGTATATTGTATACTATTTTTCTTTGAAATAACTCAGCACACCTTAAAGTTGTTCTACTATTTGCATGTATTAGGTGGGCTGTGTCTTCAGTGATGACCCGTCAGAACCAGATTCCAACTGAAGATGGCAGCCGTGTCACTCTTGCCCTTATCCCGTTGTGGGACATGTGTAACCACACTAATGGACTGGTAAATATGTTTTTTCATACCTTTAATCACACTGGAGTTTAGTTCTGAGCAGAAAGTGGCACCAGACGATCTGACTCAAAAAGAAATTGCCAGACAACATAAAAACAATGGCTGTTCTAGATAAGATTTCCATTAAATGTCGCAAATGTTAAATACTAGGAAGACTGTTCCTGCACAGGTGATTCAGTTATGTATCCTGAGCTGTGTTAAAATTCCAATTAGTAAAAATGCAGTTGCGGAATGAATTATTCAAAACATTGTTCATTTGCAGATTACAACAGGCTACAACCTGGAGGATGATCGCTGTGAATGTGTGGCACTGAAGGACTATAAGAAGAACGATCAGGTGAAAACTGCTTCTACTGGGCTCTGTATGTGTTTCTTAGAAAAAAAGGACTGTGTGTTAAAGTTCCCTGGTCGCGCTTCTCCTAAAACAACTGAAAAGTCTTGTCTTGTCTAAATACAGTTAAGTTTCATGCACACATTCATTTTTCCCACTTACCAAAGGCCTAAGGAAGATTCCTGGGATATCCCGAGGTCCTCCCAGGCCAGCTGAGAGACATAGTCATAGAATCTCGTTTTAGTCACAATGTCCAGCTCTCTTTAAGACCGTTCCAGTTGATGAATCTTTTCATGCCTGGAGCTTTAATTAAATGGCAATGAAATCATGTCCTTGACAAATCAGATTTTGAGTTGGCAACACCAAGGCCTTCTAGAAGGCGTACAATTATGTTGGTGTTTTTCATAGAAATTATTTCCAAAATGGTTCACAGGGAAATAAAAGTACCATAAATACATATCCACATGATATACACTAACTAAAACCCACTCCTAACTAAAAAGTAGAAGTACAGTTTAATTTCAAGTACTGCTTAAAATGAATGCTTCACATACCTCCATCAGTTTAATTTAAAAAAGTCTTGGATCAGGGGTCAGCAATCTTTTTGAAACTGCTTGATAGACATAAGAAGTCACTGTGCATGAAAGGAAGTTGTGTGGATGTAATACTTTTTTTGTGTGTCTACTATAGATCTACATATTCTATGGCACAAGGTCCAATGCTGAGTTTGTCATCCACAATGGTTTCTTCTACCAAGACAACGCTCACGACCGGGTGAAGATCAAGCTGGGTGTCAGCAAGAGTGAACGTCTGTATGCAATGAAGGCCGAAGTTCTAGCCCGAGCTGGGATACCGGTGTACGTACATTACTTCACAACATGTCCTTTTTTTTTTTTTTTGCAAACATTGTTTTGCTGATTGCATGTAACAAGCACAGTATTCCAGTATAAACTACCAAAAACTTTGGCCACCCCTGCTGTACATCAAGGCAGCATTAAAATGTCAGTGGAGGTTTTCAAAATGTTACAGCTGCTTGTTTTACCAACACATTTCTCTTTTTAAACTTCATAGCATTTGGATATAAACTGTGCACGAAACCTCAGCCCTTAATCTGAAAAGCAGTTTTAAGGCAGGCAACTGGACTCACCTTAGGCCCTCGTTTCTCTCACCAGGTCATGTGTCTTTGCTCTTCACTGCAACGAGCCCCCAATTTCAGCTCAGCTTTTAGCCTTTTTAAGAGTCTTCTGCATGACTGAAGGTAAGCCTCTTACTCAATCACGCACACGATCAGTTTCCGTGAAGAGTGTAACAATGCACTCACGTTTCTGAAGAATGTCAAGAGACTATGTTCTCTGCGCACAAGCAAAGATATTTTACCCTTAAATCTGATACACATTGCTTTTGAATGCAGTATTTTCCAACATGTGGTCTTGTTTCAGAGGAATTGAAGGACTTCTTACTCGGAGAACATGCTATCAATAAGATCTTCACCTTAGGCAACAGCGAATTTCCTGTTAGCTGGAAGAACGAGATCAATTTGTGGACGTTCTTGGAGACTAGAGCTGCTCTGCTGCTCAAAACCTACAAGACCACCTCAGAGGTCAGTCGACTGATCTTGAATGCTTTACATTTATAAAATTTACAAATGTGTGTTTGTATTAGGGCATTCATTTTCTATGTGTCCAAGTGTCTATATATGTACATACATACACACATGGTTAAGTTGACTCCTCCCAGGGGGTGTTGTCATCGAATCGTTTTTTTTTTTTTTGTCATGTGTAGTATGTATATACAGGTATATATATATACGCACACATATACACACACATATCTATATATATATATATATATATATATATTTACACACACACTCAGGTATTCTTTGCTGTACAATTTGCACCCTATAATCTAAGCTTCCATTGGAAAGGTAAAAACCCACTCACTGTTATTTCCTAATCTGTTTTTCTATAGGAGGACAGTTTGTTACTGGAGAAGCCCGATCTTTCCATGCATTCTCGCGTGGCCATACAGCTCCGACTGGCTGAGAAACAGATCCTTGAGAAGGTTTCTTCCAGCGGTCGGGAAAAACGGCTCTACTACCAGAAGAAGCTGGAAGAGGGCGCTCCTTTACCTCTTTATGAGGAGAGTGACATTGCTTTGCTGGAAAGTACAGATGACAATGCAAAGCTTCCTATTCTCATGCACAAACTGGATGAGGTGGACGATGACCAGGCAATCCCAGTGGAGGAGCACAGCCACATCATGAATGGTAAAAAGTTGGCGTACAGAATGAAGGGTAATGGAAAGCCACAGCAGGTTATTCAGGAAAGTATCAGCACTGATATTAATCAAGCTTTAGACTCAAATGGCAACGCTTCATTGGATCAGGGTCAGACGGAAGTGTCTAAGCACTGTGACACTGGGACTGAAGAGGAACCCAGGGAGGCTAATTAAAATATTTCCCCTCCCAGCACACAAACACTGCTATTTATTTATTCTTTGATTGTGTAACTGCTGCTGCAGGGATTTGCCCCCTCCACCTTGCGAGGATTAAGGATTAAGGGGTCGAAGATGGATGGGTGGGTGGATGGATAACTGTTTAGGTTGCAGGGCTCCAGACTACAAGCGTCACACTTTGCAGTTCTATGCCACCAGATGTAAGCTTATAAAGGGCAACTTTTGTACAAATACATAGTAAAATGAAGCAAGACATGGTTGTTTTTGTACGTGTACTGTTAAAGCATCAGATGGTAGTAGTCCAAAGGTTTGTCTGGAGCCCTGTCTATTTTGGTTTGTAACTCTAGTTTGTGTGTGAATGGTTGCAAATGTAAAGTTGACAATCGTGCTGAAAATATTTTTCAGCTTAAAAATGAAAAAAGATTTAAAAAAAAGCCTTGTCATCATGATGGAACTTTTTTTCACTGGAAACAATTTTTCAAAGACTTCTGTTCTTGGTTACATTGGATGCCTGTGTGTTGGATGGCATTCTTAAAAGCAACATAAAAGTCCCAAGCAACCTGGACATGGACTGTTTTTTTTTTTTTTTTGTTAATGTGACTGATGTCACATTAATATTCATACATAAAAGTGTTGGTTAACTAAGATCTCTGTCTGTATATTATGTGGAATTCATTTTAGTGAGTTTTCCATTTATGCACTCTTAACTTGTTTTAAAATATAAACAAGTTATTAAATATATATGTATATAAACATATATATAGTATATATATTTTTGCCACACTTTGTCTGTGGCCAAAGACTGCTTTAAAGTTACTGTGAATTAACATTTTCCGGCATGTGAAAAAGGTTCACAATATCAATTGACCATAGACAGTTAGTAGTTCTTGTGAGTCTTGTTTGAATTTTTCATTCAGCTTGTTCCCATACTGTAAATATTACTGTAGGGGATGGAGTGTCAGATTGGAGTAAGTGTTTTTGTTCCTATGTTGCCTCCTCTAGCCCACAGTAGATGTGTTTTCCTCATAGGTAACATTTTCTTTGTTGAAGTTGCCTTCCACCGAGTTCATCATTCATAGGTGTCATAAGATGTTTCCATCTGATTAAGTTTTTTTTTGTTGTTGTTGTTGTTTGTTTGTTTTGTTTTAGCTTTCGCCCTCATTTTTTGTCAGAAAAAGTCTTTGATTTAGTTCTTGATCCCAGTGGTTGGATTGTGCCATAGTACTGGTGCTATGCCAGTTGAAGTTTCTGCAGTGGAAACATGTGAAATTACAGAACCTAATAAAGTATAATTAATAAGTTTTACAAATTAATTGATTGATTATTAAATGTTTTCTTTAACAAGATGTTATAAAGCTGTTAAGAAGCATGATAATAACAGGTAACTTAGAGACTTGAGCTGAGTCCGATGTAAGATTTGGGTAATGTCAGTGTTTCACATTGTTACCCACAAATGTCTTATGTAACAGTAGATGTTACAGATGTCTTTGTGCCTGACAAAATCTGTCAGGTACAGCAGTGTTTTTCATTCACTTTACTTGATGCGATATACAAATGTTTTGCTTGTTATAAATTCTTATTCATAAATTCTTATTCATTGCTTAACACAAGAGAAAATGGTTTACAAAGAAATATGGATTCTCACTCCCACTACTGCTAAAAAAGGAATACACAACTGTTGCTGGAAGTGCTGTCATCAGGACAGGTGAAGAGGGCATCTCTGAAGTGGGGACTTATGAAGCCTGTGGTGAACCTGGAGTGGCCAATCAGGGTTGCACAAAAGTCACAGGCACATGTACACAGCAGGGCTACTCTTAACGTGTATGTTACAAGCCAGTAAACTCCTGACCTACACCATGTACCTACAGTACATGCTCCATACGAAACACAAAAATAAATTTTTTTTTTGACATCACTTGATGTTTGATGTTTTTTAACACAGATTATCATAATTGATCACTTATCTGTTATATCATTTTAGGGCATAGCCGTGCGATTTAAGATGTTCTTAGAGATTTTTTTAATATTTATTTTCTGCAGTAGTTATAGTATGATATGTCATTTTTGATCAATTTCTACATGGCAAAATGTGATTTAAAAAAATACACAGATTATTCATCTATTTTAGGGCATAAACTGAAACACGTTATCTTTTTAATTTTTTTTTTCACATACGTCATAGCATAGTATAATTAATGATTTTAGCACAAAAAAATCCTTTACGTTTTCCTGTTTTCCGACATTCGTGTTGAACTTGAACGCAGCATTAGCTCAAGCAAAGATATGGATGGGGTCACTATGAAAGTAAGGGACTACTTCACTCGTGGAAAACATTTGCTTTTTTATTGCCTTTTTGTAGAGTTTGTTTTTCGTTTTAGTCACGTTACGCAAGATGTGGCAGAACACAAGAAGCAGGCAAAAAAACCTTTAAACAGCAGCTGCGCGTGACGTCAGACGCTGAAAAGGTCACAACGCACTTTGAAAATCCACAGGTGGATGAAATTATACCTTAATTGCGAGTGGACCCGGTTTAGAGGAACCACTGCGATGAAAAGGTGAAGGACTTTTGGATTTTTATTCCCTGCCGTCGGCGTTTTGTCTCCATTTATTTAATATAGCGAAATAGCGTCGACTTCACTTAATGTGGACGAAAACTTTTTATTTAGTTTTTGCTAATTAAAATGGCTGACCGGCGCCAGAGTGTGTTTGCTTATTGACCCATATTTTACCATTTTAGTGGAGGAAGTACAGCTTCAGTGTCTTCTACTGTACATTTTTTAAAGAAACGGTTTACGTTGTGTTAAATTCGTATTCAACATTGTTATAAATATGCGGGGTTAAGATGGAAAACCTACAAATAAAGTTGTTTAATCTGGTGGGCATACCGGTTAGATTGCTCCTTTAGGTTCTTCTATAGAAAATATACTTGGCAAGGAGACAATCCAAGACTATGTTAAGTTTAAGTTGATCTACAAAAAGGTTTTAAAAAATGTATTTTGGCAAATTCTGTGGGCTGAATGGCAGAAGTTTAAGGTGAATGATGTGACAAATCAAGTTACCTTGTTGACGTATGCTGTGATTTAATTTATGGTTGCCTTGTTTAGTTTGTTTGGGATGGAGGTCAACAACAGTGCTGTTTGTGGCGACAGGGGGCTTTGTGTTTAGCCATATATTAATATTTAATTTTAAATTTATTTTTTTGGGTAAGGAATCTCTAGGGCCACAGCCAACTGCTGGCTGGTGTGGCAGCTTCTTTTCTTTTTGTTTTGTTGTTTGTAGTTACACTTTCATTTCAATTTTTAAAATAAACTACATTACTTCCTCCAAAACTTAAGCAGTTGGATTTTTTACATTGTGTAGTGTTCAATAAAAGTGTTGTCATAAACACTTTAACTTGTCTTTTGTCTCTCACAGAGACCTACGTATGTTTTATGGTAGCTTTTTTTTATGGGATAGCTTCTTGGTGCTGATGTAAATATATGAGCAAGCAAGTAGATGCCAACCTAAAAGTTCATTTTGATTTCCACTGTGGGAGTTTAAGCTCCTTGTGTTAGATTATACTTATAAAATAATAATAACTAAATATATATATATATATATATAAATACATTTTATCATTGCCAATGAGGGCAAAACAACAACTCTAAGGCACATTTTGTAAAGTTGCCTAAATAGCCACAACAATAGCCCCATGTGAGTGGTAGCTGGCTATTGGTTTTAATCCTTTACTAAACAGCCCTCTAACCCATGTGATACATAGGCCAGCCCACAGCTTAGGTGGAACAGAGGGGCATTGGTATGTTTTAATCCCCTTCACATTTGCCCACACTTTTACTCAAGTCTGTAGTTTTGTTGTATTTCAAGATCTGTAGAAAATCTTTTTACCATTATTTTGAGCAATCCTTCCATTTCTATATATTTATATTATAACCATGGAGCACGGAGTTGGAGTTAACATTTCTGATGACGTTTCACCATATGGGGGTAAAAGTGTCTTTACACAAATGGAACACAACATAGTGGCTGGATATCTTATTACTGCAGGTAACAGAAAACTGCAAAAACTGCACTGTTGATGGAAGTTCACTGCAAAAAACATGATGACAATGATTCTATTTTGGATGTTTTGTATTTCCTGCAGATGTGTCGGTGAAATAGTGCAACGTTCAGTGACAGTGATCAGAACATGACGTTAATCAATGTCAGCTCTTTAAAGTTTCTACTGTAGCACTGTGTCAGTGTTGGTGCCTCGGTTTAAATCATGTTTTTTCCATGTGGAATTTGCATGTTCTCTTTATGTTCATTGGATTTTAGTTTTCTCAGAAATTGATTAGTGGACAGTATTTCACAGGAATAAAGCAATAGCTTTAACTCTGATTTTGCAAAACTTTGCATAGTAAAAGGTTATTGTGGCTGTCAAACAATTAAAATGTTTAATCTGTGGTTAATCCCTGGGCAGTTGTTGATTAATCACAATTATTTAAGAAGGCAACGTTCCTTATTGCAACAAACGTTTTTTTGCTGCATATAAACTGAATAGAAAGACAAACAGTAGAGAGATGTATATTATTTTTTGTTGAGTTGAAATAAATGTAAGGAAGAAATAAAAGCACTGCTCAAAACTTGACAGATAATTAGTCACAGCTATTAGCAAAAAAAAATCAACATAGGAGCTAAATTGGAATAATTTCAGAATAATTTCTGGTCAGGGTTAAGTTCTGCCAAGCCTGGTCAATGACTCCTTTTTGGACCTTTTTTAAGGCAGTCTGGTTTGATGGCCTCCGCTTTGGGTCTCTGCCTTTGGTATCTCATGTTGTTTCCCCCACTGGACAGTAGGAGTGCCATGGCATTTGTGTTTTTCCTGAATTACCACAGTTTAGATTTTGGTTTATGCAGTTGAGTACATCTGAGTGAAAAATGTCTTCAGTGGCGACAGTACCCACACTCCAATCCAGGGGACAGTAATGAGTTTTTAATCTACTGCTACTAAAACAAATAAAAAAAAAAAACACTGAAAACTACTGAAAGAAATATGATTCACACACACACACACTCCTGGACCTTGGACATGCTGGAGGGACTATGTCCCCAAGGCTTTACCTCTACATAGGCTGTTGTCTCCACCAACAAGATATGTGCTGGAAGACGGATGGATGGATTTTTATATTTAAAAATTCCATAAATTCATTGGACAAAATGACACTTCAGTTTACAAATCTTCCATATGACCAGAGGACTTACTCCTTTTTTCTTTCTTTTAAGGTGTGATTAGTTTGTCGAGCAACATCGTGGTGCTGCTTGTCTTTGTCAAGTACAAGGAGCTCCGTACTGCGACCAACTTCATCATAATCAATCTGGCTTTTACTGACGTTGGAGTGGCTGGAATCGGCTACCCTATGTCAGCTGCTTCAGACCTTCACGGCAGTTGGAAGTTTGGCTACACGGGTTGTCAGGTAAGTGGATCAAAAAACAGACAAACAGAAATGAGGTCAGTTTAAATCATGGGTGTGAGGTGCGTCTCCTCTGAAGGACATCAAAGAACCTCAAAGGCGTGTGAGTACAAACCATAAGTACAGGACACAACTCTAACTCTAGAAACGCAAAAGCTGAGGAACCACGAATATTTATTTTATTTAAGCAACACAACCGAGGACAGAACTGTTTTCTGTGGACTGCCGTCGTCTCAACAATATCGCCTGCCAGGTCATCATTACTGGGCGTGCCGTGTCTGTTCCCTCCATCTGTGATGTTGCCATGGGTGATGGCTTTTGGTCTTTGCAGCGTCCTGGCTGATTTCCCCTGGAGTCGCTGCGTAGCCTAGTCAGATGAGCTCCTCATCTATACCGCTACCTTCCACTATCCTCACCTTTTACCAAGCTGGTCTTCTTGGGTCATGTTGTCAGCGTTACAGAGGTGACAACTAATGGAGATCCTCGTGATGTTGGAGAACCCTTCCAGCTTCCTGAGTCTGGCTTCCTAGCATTGGCGCTTCATCAGAGACTTCAACTTCAGTGTTGCTCTTCCAACATTGGCCAATGCAGAACAAATGGGGGTTTCAAAAATGACAAGTGTGACTATGCTTTCATGGTACAAAAGAAGACGTGGTTGAGTTTGGGAGGAGAGAGGCTCATGAATGATACAAATCTAACTTTCATATCCAACTTTCTGGTTGCATTCCAAGTTTTTGTTATTGCTTACTTGCTGTTTTTACTAAAAACATTTCTGCACGTTTTCCCGTTGAAGATTCACTTTTTTCCTCTTTCTTTTACCAGATCTATGCGGCTCTGAACATTTTCTTTGGCATGGCCAGTATAGGCCTACTGACTGTGGTGGCCATAGACCGCTTCCTCACCATCTGCAGAGCAGACATAAGTATATGATCGGGCACTTCTGCTCTGTACACTTCAAAACTGTGTGTCTGTGTTGGGAGTGGGGGGAGGAGGAGTGGGTGACAGTGGTGTGTAAATGTAATCATCCCAGTGCTGTTGTTGTTGTTGTTGCTGCTGCTGCTGCTGCTGCTGCTGCTGCTGCTGCTGTTGTTGCTGTTGCTGATGCCGCCGCCGCCTTCTCTCTCTGAATGCATTCTTGTCCTTCATTTTTTCCAACACAAACTTTTCTCGTTTCATTTCCTCCGACCTGAACAGACCTGTGTCTCCCGTCTTATCATCCTTGCTGTAGTTTTCCAGTTGCCCACTCATCTTTACTGTCCAGACAGCTCTGTGACATTCCTTTTTTTTTTAGTTTTCCGAAAAATAAGAGCTAGCTTAACTTATCTATTTTGTGTTTTCAGTGTCATCAAAACCAACGTTACAGTCCTCATGACCAGGTGTGTTCTGTTTTGTTTTTAATTTTGTTTAGGACAGAAAATTACAATGCAATCGTACAACCTTCTAATCCTGGCAGCGTGGCTTAATGCAGTTTTCTGGTCACTGATGCCTGTTGTGGGCTGGGCTGGATATGCGCCTGATCCCACTGGAGCCACGTGCACCATCAACTGGAGAAAGAATGACGCGTGAGTCACTTTGATGAAGCACTCTTACAGAGTTAGAGTTCTTTTTCAAACACAGTGGTGCTACATGGTGTTACATCTGAATAGTCCCCACCGAGCTCCTGACAAATATTGATTTTTTTTAGAGTTCTTTTTCAAACACAGTGGTGCAAGATTGAATATTGATTTTTTAAAAATTGTTTTATTTTATTATTTATGTATATTTTATTTAGTTTTTATTTACGGTAGTTTACGGCTCACTTTGGATTTTCTACAAAATATGCTGGGGTTGTTTATGAACACAGACAGAAGGTATCTGACCATTCAGTGTTTTACTAATTTATCAATAAATACAATAAAATAAAATCTCTTTTTTTTTTGCAGAATTTTTTTAGCAGGAGTTTTTACTGTCCATTTAGTTTATGTTTACAGTGCATTCTGTGATACATATCCGCCTCATCATATTTGTCTAGAATGGATTTTAAGTCTAGATTTCTTAGGTTGCTATGTTTTGACTTGCAATCATTTAATAATTTATATTATTAGTATTAATTAAATTAACAAATAATGTTACTCCTGCTTCAGTGCTGTGGACAGCTGATGTCATTTTTTTTCTATTAAAATGAAACTGCTGAGTCACAGTAATAGGTAGGCTGTTGATAATGCTCTAATTTCTTCCCCCTCCTCAGCTCATTCATCTCGTACACCATGGCTGTGATTGCTGTGAACTTTGTTTTGCCACTGTCTGTCATGTTTTACTGCTACTACAACGTGTCGGTCACCATGAGAAGACACCAAGCCGACAGCCACAGCATTACTGCTCTGGACTGGTCAGACCAGAAGGATGTCACCAAGGTGAAAGTCGATTAACACTTTGTTTTCCTTTTTCATTCAATAACTTAATTAATATTAGAATATCAAGGCGAGGAAGTCTGATTTTGGTGAGACTGACAGTTGGCAGATTGAAGTTGATTATTTGACACACCACTCTTAGATAGTACAAAATATGAGCAGATTTCTGTCTAAAGAAGTATTTAATTTGTAAACAATATAAGATAATAGAAATAATTTATTGGTGGTAAAAATAGGTCTGCAACAACTCGAAGAGGAAGGGCTCCCTTCCTGTCATTTGAAAATCTATAAATCAATGAAGCACAAATATTTGAAATGGAGCTCACGCATTTTCGGAAGATTTTAAATTTGTCCGTGTAATTTTGGCATGAACTTCAGTCTTCAGCACATGAAAAATTGATAGTTGAAAACAATGAGACACAGAGAGAACACAATAAAACACAAGGGCCACATTTAAGGAAACCTGTCTTCTGCATAGTTGAAGTCAGAGGGTGTTGTGATGGCTGTCGTACATTAAACATTTTCTCTTTAAAATTGTCCACAGATGTCCATTTTGATGATTGTCATGTTCCTGGTGGCCTGGTCTCCTTACTCCTTTGTTTGCCTGTGGGCGTCATTTGGTAACCCCAAGAATATTCCTGCCGCAATGGCCATCATTGCTCCACTTTTTGCCAAGTCTTCCACGTTTTACAACCCCTGCATTTATGTTCTCGCCAACAAAAAGTGAGTCTATTCAGCTACTACTTAAATGTTAACTTTTTCCAGCAAGTTACAGCTTTTCATGTATGTATATACGGTGATTGTTGTGCGGTTGAAACTTTGATGATTCTTGTCTTTCAGATTCAGAAGAGCCATCATAGGCTTAATCCAATGTCAAACCAGGCAGCGGATTACCATCAGTACCCAGGTTCCCTTGACCACATCCCGGCAACCTCTTACTTAATGGAAATATTCCCTGTGTCAATCATAAACTTGATTATTACCAGATAAAGTTCCAGTGAATGACAACACTTCAAGTTCTCTGTATTCACCACTTCTTATTTTGTTACTTACACAGTCAATTCCGTTTTCTGGCACTCTGAGTGACCCTTCCTTAACACTGTAAAAATATGTGTTGCTGTACTTAAATAACGGTCTGTCTTGACCCCCTGTCGGCATATTTTAGATAGACGGCCTACGTGGACCCAAACACCGTGCATTTAGAAGAGGGTACTAGCCCAGAGACTCACATAGAGTACATAATTACCTACGTCACTCATGCTAACTCATTCTAACGAAAGTGAATGTAGCACAAGCCAATGTATGATGAACAACCAAGAATGTAAACAAAGATGTCTTCCGCTTATAGCACCGTGTGATGACGTATTCGTCCGCCCCACTCGTCAACTAGTTCCCGTGCAAACTAGTTTGTGAGTTTGAATGCCATACGTCGAAATGATGGAACAAGACTTGTTTATAGGAGATGGTGACGTAACCACAAAAAGTCTTAGGTAAAGTTTGTCTTAATATGTGAAGGTGACCAGACAGAATTTTTACATGAAATAAAATGCACCCCAATGACCCAATGCAGTTTTCCAGAACTGTCCTCAGAACTTTTTATCCACACCAACACCAGCATTTTGAGTATTCTAAACTCTAACTTTAAATTAAGTGAATTCCAACAGGACAATTAGTGACGGTATTATTTATTTGAAAACTCTCATTGTTTTTGTGATCGCTAAACAGCTATAGAAAAACACACTGGGTGATAAATAATTTACATTCACACAGAGAGAGTACTAAGTCAAAAGTTCACAAAATTTTGAGGAATCATTTTTGTTAAAGCAAAAAAGCAAAAATCAATATTTAATAAACAAGTGTCTCTATTGTTAATGAAATGGAAGTTAAATGTGTCCAGCAGGTTGTGTTAAATTTGATTTTGATTGTTTTTCTTACCTATTAAATAGCAAACATGTTCTTTCCCCACTGTCAATCAGATGTGGTTCCATGTGGCCAATGTGCCTTAATCCTTACATTAATCCCATTTCTAATGCTTTATTCTACGTTGCTTGTCAGCCAATGACTGATCTCATCCCCGTTCAACCTAATCCACTCTATATTGTTCCTCGCTGTCTCCAGGGCCTGCTGCCTGGGCATCTTCCCAGCACCAGCGTCTGGCGTTAGATTGAAGAAATGCTCCATCTGCAAAATCAATGTGGAGAGGTTTTTGTGATGAACATGTTGACAAAAATGTATATATTCTACTCCCCACATACTATACTACGTCAGTGTGGTTCCATAGTGCACTGTAATGGCTGTCACGCCTGCTTAAACATCTGCCTTACATGCAGAAGGTCCTGGGTTTGAGCTCCAGAGGAACCACATACTTAATGGCGCCTCATGTGGCAGCCTGTGTGGGTTGCAAAGACTCAGACTGTGAGTTTCCTCATTGTGGAGCCTTATAAGGGACTAATGTATATTTTCCATAGTCCAGATTGACTTCATGTATGCCTTTAGTATTCAGGCATGCAACAAGTGATACATGTGTAGCATCAGGACCATGAAAAAGAAGTTTCAGTGCCTTCTGTTTGTCAGAGAGGTGTCAAAGGTAAAATACTAAGAATTTGTGGGCTGCATACTATCTTATTGATCTGACTCCGTTTCCTTGGCGATGCGTGCCATTTGCGTGTCTTCATTGTAAAACTGATCGACCTCCTGCTTCTAAAATTCTTAGAAGTTCACTCTTGTTCTATTCATCAGACATCCAGTGACCTGCAGTGAGGTGGGCACCTCCCCACACCCTTTGGATATGTTACATATCTAATCACTGTTTACACACAGATATGACACAATAATTTGACTGAAAAAGAAACAGTTGGAGACAGTGGTGTACACATACTCTAAGTATGAGTGAGGCTGATTGAATAAATAGAGTTTCTAACCTTCCAAAGTTGGAGATCTGTATTGTATGTGGTGCTTATTTGATTGAGCAGACGACCAAGGTTCCTGTCATTGATGGTGTACCTGTGAGGACAAAAAGAATAATGGGATTATTTCATTAGGAGTGTGCTGCCCTTGATATGTTTTCTAAGGGGATTGTTTATACATTTAAAAGTCCTAATACTTTTACAAACTCTGCGATTGTGTTGTAGTCAAAACAATTTGTGTTTCTTATGGTAGAAAGTGGAGGATGAATGGACTTTGTTAAGAAACTATAGTTTGATCTATAAAATGATCAATCATCATTTCAACATTCAAGTAAAGGGTGACAAGCACATCCTTAGTTTCCTATTATGTTGATCCTCAGGCCAAGCTGGGTTTATTTAGTGTGTCAACCAAATGGACCATTTCCTTTTGTACAATTGATTTTTTTGGTATAAGCTTTTTAATGTGAATGAATGATGTCACAAGCTAAACATCTGCTTTTCTTTATCAAACAGAAATAATTTAAGATTTTTTTTTTTTGCTTTTGTTCCAAATCTCATTACAGCTAAATTTAATCTAAATATTAGTCCATATCAGCACTGACCTTTTGACCAGATAGTCCCAGTTGAGTGTGGTCCAGTCCCAGGCCATGTCTTGTCCCAGCTCATTGTAAGACACATACCGTACCACAGTGAACAAATCCTGACTCCTCACCACAGTCTCATTCTTAGTGGCCTCCAGCAACCTGTAAGGCAGAAAGTGCGAGGTTTTCAAATCTTTGACTCCCTCTGCTCTGTCTCTCTCCTCCCTCACCGTCTTTACTTCACAGAATACTTCACGTGATCCAGGCCTGACACATCTATCATTATTATTATCTCTTGTTACTATAATTTTGTTATATAATATAATAAATATAAATATATATATAATATAAATATGCATTACCATTATAACTTTTACTTGTTTTTTTAGCTCCATGTTTCTCCCTGCAAGTTTTTTTGTTTTTATACTTTTTTGCATTTTTGTATAGTACATTCACTACATGTACTACATTCACAGATTAGTGCAAACTCAAAGAACATTTAAAGGCATTACAGTCCAAATTTAAAGCTGTTTTAATCTCAAGCTCTATCTATGTTTTGAAAAAAATTCAAGTAATAAAGAGGGAATTTTGACCAATGAGAATTGTAAACAGACCAACACAGTAACGATATGTACCCTTTCCACCATGAAAAGAACCACCTGAAAAGATACTGTGAAACTGCAATACAGAAATCAAGTAATAAAACATTATTATAATTTGTATCACATAATCTCACATGTTCACATTAACAATCATTGGTTTATTATTTTTTAAACTCAAAACAACCGCACAAATCTGAGTGACGTTGCTGCCTGCTAGAAACCAATACAGGGAATCAGCGCTTAGCTCAATGCTAATTTACATTTAAATTCCCATAGACAGGCTAATGTGTTGGTAGCACTCTGAAGTTCTATTTACTGAAATAACTTAAATGACAAAGGATAGCACTAATTAATGTAAGATGGTCAAATACGTGTGTCGCCTCAGGTTAAGTGGAGACAAATGTACAACAATTGGAATAGTAACAACTTAGCCTTAAACCCTGTGTCAGTGGAGTGAGAGGAGACCCAGGACAAACCTACGGTACATGTCCTAAAGTCCTATCTCTGTCTATAGCTGGAATGGCTTCAAAAATGCTAAAACCCATCAGAACTTAACAAATTAGAATTTTATACTTCATATTCATATTCATGGCTAAATGTACAATTTTTAACCAGGTCGTAGAAGGAGACGTTTTGGTTACCTGTATAATAATTCTATGTTCCCCACAGAGGCCAGTCCATAGAGGAGCTTATCCTTCTCTTGAGCCAAAGAAGTGTCAATGTACTTCTGGAACATAGAGTTCCACTTGGCTTCAGTGCCAGAGTTCTTCATTCCATAGCGATATACCAACAACCGCAGATTTACTGGCACACTGCTGCAATTCAAAAGGTTAGAAAAATGGTTTATAATTATATTCAACAAGACGTTAAAGTTAAACAAAAGCTGAGTGTGTGTGTGTGTGTGTGCCATCTTTTGACCTAAGGTCCTCACTTATCCTCTGCCAAAATGGTGTGTAGTTCCACATTGAATGCAGCTAGTGGTCTGTTTCCTTGCAATGCTGAATCGACCAGCCCTATTTTAAACATCCTCTGTTGAGTACAACATGTTCTATGGATAGTTTTGAACTATATGAGCTGTAGGTTATTAGGAACAACTGTGAGGATAATTAGGCAGACTTGCTTCCAGAACTCTGGATTTGGATTTATGGGTCAATCATTTTCTCGTTGAGTGATTGGAAGAAAAGAATAATTTGCTAAAGGAGGAATTTTTTAGATTTGACCTTCAATTTTGCTTGAATTGTGGATTTAAGTTGTAGAAATACCTGGATGAACATTGCTGAATGTAAGAATCACAGAGAAACTACTTATTTGCCATCAGCTCTGACTGTACAACTTGATGATTTGTACAGAAAAATAATTCAAGTACAAAAGTTCATTATACATTCTATATATGTGTGTTTAGCAGGACTCACATGTTTCACATATAAGAAGACAGAAAGTGATCTGATACCTTATATTTCCCCCAATCCAGCCATCAAAAATGCGGGATGCTTCATTTAGCGCCGCCGTGTCTCCCATCTGACAGGCGATACTGAGCACTGTCTCCCTCAACAACCTGTCAATCATGTCCAAAACAAAATCAAACATCAGTAAAAAAATATTGCCCTCTCATATAAATACTAGCTGGATAGTTGCTATTTTACTACTAATGACATCATAGTTCTATATAATAATGCAGTGTTCCTGCTCTACCTTTCTGTCTGTGTTCCTGTGTCATTCCATCCAAGGGTTGATGCGATGACCTTAACATGTTTTTGAAAGAGTTTCTAAAAAAAAGGGAAAAGAAGAAGAAAAAAAAGTTGTTTTTCATCCCAACTGACAGCCATCAAAATAAAACTTCAACAAAGTATTGACACGTTTGTACATGTGGACAAAAAACATTTTGAAAATGATGTCAAATGACTTAACACTATTATGTTTCTTCTACATAACCTGTAATTGAGGACTTCTAGGTCTCTACCTTGTTCTCAGTGGCCAATAATTGAGCTTGGTCATATACAGACTGTCATTGGGAGTATTTCTTGTTGATATCTGTGTACTTCCTGACAAACAAATGATTACTGTTTCAAATCAGCTCTAAAACCATACCGTATATGTATATATACTATATATATATATATCCTATATATATATGTATATATAGTATATGTATATATATATCTAAAACCATCACTCCAAAACCATATAGCTATATATCATTTATATTCTGTGGTTCTGCTCTGATATATTTAAAATTAAGAGAAAATAATATTCCTGCTCACCTGAAACTTTGGATACAGTGTAGTATTGCTTGACAACATGTCGCGGACGTAGCTGATGGACGAGGCCACACGGTCCCACACTATGTAGTCAGTCTCATTGGACAGGTACATGGTGAGAGTGAAGGCATTGCCGTAATCTATGATGTTGGCCCTACATAATGAAATGAAATGATTGTGATGATTGGCTTTATATTCGATCATGTGCATCCACGTTTATGTGATTTGTGTGTGTTTTACCTTGAAAGTGCAAAGACATCATCAATAAAACTGGTTCGATCAGCTGCAGTGAATTCCTGTTAAAGAAAAGCAAAAAAAAAAAAAAAATCAGTGATTTGATTTTAAAAAAATGTGATATAAATAGACATTCAAATAATGATCTTCTGTTTTCTGTCAATTCCATAACCTGTGTCTAAAATACTGGGCAAATTAGTGTATTTAGTGGGAGATACAGGAGTTCCTGTTCTTCTGTCTATGGAAAGTGTTGCTAAAGTGATGTTGTTGAATTGCTTAAATAAAACTACCCATAAGGACAATGAGACACCAAACAGCATTAGAGTATTACTCAGTATCAGGTGTTCCAATATCAGACCCAACATCTGTACTGTTATCCCTACGTACTTACAACATTAGTCGTTTCAAGGTACAGTACTATACTGTACTGTACACTATACATGGCTGTCTTCACCATTCAACGTCTTGGTGGAACTAATTTTGTTTTGTCTTCACAATGTCTATGAAGAGGTTGAAGAGTTCCGTTAGGAGCACATATTTACTCTTCTCCCCTCCACCAGTTAGCTGAGCATATTTCTGTATGGCAGTTACCATGTGACTGTGACGAAGCTTTTCGCTGATAGAGCTCCACGTGTGATTTTCATAGTTGACTCTGTAGAAACCGATGTGATCATTGTTGACCTTGATCAGACCGTCTGCTGCCGGAGAGTAGCCCACGACGACAAGGTCTAAATAATAATAATAATAAAAAAGAAAACTGCTATCAGAGAGTTCCGGTGACACATTGTAAAGGGAGTATTTTCCTGTGTATGTTTGTCTGAGTAATAAGTAAATGTAATGACAAAATATTTATCAAAAGATTACCATTACTGCTACTGTTAAATATGGTTGACCCATTCTTGTCACTTCCCACAGAGAGCCATTTGACAGGGAATGTCCACTTGTACCTGTAAAAAAACACAAAGACAGAAACAAGTGTTTTTTTGAAGACAGCGACAGTATGCACTTCCTTAAAATGTGCCGAGGTGCAATTGTTATTTGTCAGTCTGTAGCACAGGTTCCAGTGCAGAAACATGGGAACATTTGTCATTCCAATTGGGTGAAAGTTGGACCATACCACATTTCCACCCCAACACCCTCTAGGTCTGCCTCTGAACCCAAGTGGTTTAGATCCTTTCATTTCTACAGCTCGACTAGTCACGATAAATCAAAAAGATTTGTCTGAACATCCCATGTGTGATTCCTGCCTGAACACTGTGTGTCACTGACAGATTTTAGATTGCTCTGTAAATCAAACAGCACATATTGAGTCTGTCTTCAGTGAAATTCCATTCCGTTTGTAGCACTCGCGATTATTTCAATGGACTTTTTCAGCATCCAAACACTGATCACCTGACTGCTGCCTTGACATTAACAGCATATTCATAATTTGTAGAAAATATGTCTTTAATAAAACAAAAGCAAAAAACAACATAATAAAGCATTACAAAGCAGGGTATTTTGTAGATGGCCAGAATGTTGAACTGGGTAATGACGAAAATCTATATTATATTTACTGAAAAAGGGACTTCACTGAAAATAAGGGGATCCAGGATAGATCCCTGGGGCGCACCTGAGTAAAGAAATACTATAATTCTAGTTCTATTTTGCACAGAAGAACACATTTTTTGGTAACTAGCAAGCGGGAAAATATTTCAGTGTTTCCTATAAATTCCGTGTTACTTTCATGGTTATGAGTAACAGTCATATCTGCCATATTTTATTGGTCCCTTAATCCACTGCAGGCTTCAACCAGTCAACTCGCTTCATCTGCATCTCTTACCCAAGAGGTGTGGGGGGCTGGGTGGGATCAGCTTTAGGATCCAGGAGGAAACGCTTCTGGGTCAGTTTAGCATCAGTGTCGGAGACCAGCACATTAACCACGGGATAACCCATTTGTTTGGTCCATGTGTCCATAACATCTGCAACAGGAAGTCCACTCACCTGATACAAAGGGGACAATGACAAAACAGGGTGTTAGAATCATGTTCCACTTATCTTTTTTTTAACTTCAGAGCATGACAAACTGATTAAGAGAAGATGCGGTGGGTGATAGTTCCGCTGTTGAAATAAATTCATAAATGAACTAACATGATTAAATAAAGGGCAGAAAAAGTTACTGAGTGAAAAATATTTTTCATCTCCTTTGTATGTCGTACCAGCTACATCAAGTATGTTCCTTTCTGCTAACCCTGACTGTTTTTTCCAACCACCTCAGGGCAAAACTGCATACAGATGGAAGTCTTTGAATATCCCCCTGAAGCTCCTGCATTAAAATAGTTTGAAAAATAAAAATCAAGCACCAACATACACTTGCGAGGGATTCCCAGAAGTTGGCTGTTTTGGCATTCATGAAGAAGTACTCCTTCAAATATTTCTGAAAACAAAAAAAATAAATCAGTGAACACACACCACAACAGTGCTTGGATCAATATTCATTTGTGTTCGCTGCAATAAATAAACAGTTTATTTTTATTATGATGCTGCTACAGTGAAGGACCTACCCGACAGCCATCTCTGAACATGTCTCTGCCCATCCAGTCCTCCAGCATCCTTAATATGGATGCCCCCTGGGAAATTAAAGTTTTACTTTACAAATACTCTGCTCAACATGAAGTCTCCGAATTAGTTTCTGGTCTGCTGATACTATTATTTTTCAAATATCTGCACAAAAAATATCGGGCACAAAAATGTTAGCTGAACACACTGACAAACTGAAAGCTACGTTATACACAGTCTAGCGACCATTCCAACACATTTAGGTTCATCCATCCATTCATTCTCATCAGCAGTCTCCATGACCACCACCCAAATCACAGTGCACCGTACCAACCCCCCCTGAACTTTCCTGTGGGTGGTCAGTCCACTGGAAGGTACCAACCACCCTAACAGGGACTTGAACTTGCCCAGGAGGTGAACCCTGGGGTTCCACACTGATGACAGAGACACTGACTCTGGGCCAAAGCGCCACACACATTTAAGTATATTCTACAAATAGAGCTAAAGAAAATGAATGAATATTAGACAGTTTACCATCAGGTCCTACCTTGCTGTATGAGATGGCATCAAACACAGAGGTAATCTCTGCTGGGGTGGACACATTCACAATGATGGGATGTGAGGACAGGAGAGCGTCACTAACCATGACAGGAAGAACGTCGCCGAGTAACATGATGTCTCGCTGCAGAACACAGGTCAGAAGGAAGCCTCTTAGTAAAGAGACCTCCAGCGTAGGGGACGGTAAGTGTACTGTAGTGCTACTCACCATGCCCCAGCTAGGCTCAGCCTTTTCCACACCAATGTACTCAAAGAAACTAGCAAAGCCCTCGTTCAGCCAGAGGTCATCCCACCAGTCCATGGTAACAATGTTTCCAAACCACTAGGAGAGACAGCAGGGACTTAGACTTAGGGGAGTGGATCATTGCTGAGAGTGGTCTGCTGCTAAGGTCCAAAACAAATATTTTTCTTATATTTTTTACTTCTTTTTCTGTATTATTTTGTCATCACAGAGATAGATAAACCCAAAAGAACAGGAGGAGAACTCTGTACATACAGAACACACACTGTGTAGGGCCCCGTGTTTGTTCTGAACAGTATGTGCATATTGTATGACTGATGCAGCTCACCTATGCACATCATTTTTATAGTGTGATACACAGAAGCTGACCTTCGTCATCTACTGGGGAATTTGATTGATAACAGCCACAACTGTTAAGAGTTAATACAATAGGAGTGTGTGCAGCTCATACATTTGCTGACTTATTGAAATATGAGTCTCATCAAGCTCTCCCTACATTTGTGAATAATAATAATAATAATAATAATAATTAAAAACAGCCATTTCTATTTTTATTTTTTAATTGCTCTACCTAAGCCCAAATTCTTAACTTAGCTTTGTGTGAGTTTTGTTCTACTTTTGATGCAGAGCCTAAAAATGTTTAAAGAAACATTTTTAAGAAAAAACTGCTCTTAGTATTTTCACGTTTTATGTTGGCTCACTTTTATGAACTGATAATGTGCCTGTCGGTAAACTGACGTTTGTTTCCTAACTGACTTTGCTGATTAAGATCACAGTGAGTTGTTTGATTTTATTGTCTTGTAAAGTTCAAGGTCTCTTTCATGTTTCTTGATGTGTCATTGTTGATGTCGAACTCAAATTCACAGTGGGTCAAAATTAAAAATTGGGACGAAGTCGTGGGCCAAACTCAATATTTATTGAAAAATTGATGGCAATTGTTTATGTTTTCCCTTCTCTCCAGATAATGTTGATTTTTTTTCCATATGGAAACAAACTTAGTTTTGCATAAACATTGAATCTGTAACAACCAAAGCTAAATATTATAAAGACATGAGAAATTAAATTTGAAATAAAACACACATCAGTGGTGTTTGTTTCTTATTATGTCTCTTTATCTGTAGTCTTTCCAGTTCCTTTTAATGTTAATCTTTTTTTTCACAGGCAACAACAACAAAAAACCCCAAAATGCTCTAACATAGTGCATACACCACTAATACTACAAATCCTGTCAGTATATAGGGTCTACATACAGACAGGCCAACTCTAGTTAACATTTGATATGATCTCACGGGCCAAATATAATTACACCACGGGCCAGATTTGGCCCCCGGGCCTGAGCTTGACACGTGTGACTTACAGCTTTGTTGTGCATGCCAACAAAATGACACTATGTTCTTTGGTCTTATCTTCACAGCTGTCACATTTTATAGTTGTGAATGACTGAGAGTGCTGTTTCAACGTTTATTGTAGTTAAAGTTAAACTAATTTTACCGCTTCAATGTGGCATAAAATGACTAAAGATAAGAAAAAAACCATTGTGCTTGCCAAATTCCCACTTTAACACCGAACAGATCATCGGTTTTTATTATGGCTGTATTTGCAATAGGGGGAAACAGCATGGGGAAATGTATCAGGAGGAAAATACTTTTATCTTTTTATGAGATTTCTTCTAACAGGTGTCATAATTTTATCACAAAATGATTTATATGACAGTGATGTGTTCTTTTTTTTAAGGTGATGCATGTGGTCTACTGTCTTGAGTCTAGTGTGCTTTACCAGGCATACTAAATCAGTTTACCACTTAAGAGTCTGTGCAGATGTATGAATTCTTGTATGTAGCTAGTGTTACCTGATGAACGAGCTCATGGGCGATAACACTGGCCACTCGCTGCTTGTTGTAGGAGGAAGACTCGCTTTCATCGTACAGCAGGTTGGTCTCCCTGTAGGTGATGAGACCCCAGTTCTCCATGGCACCGGTGCCAAAGTCAGGGATGGCGATCTTATCTAAAATTTAGATTGAGATTAGACAGCACTGGTTACAGCCTTTAAAAAATACATTTAATTACCAGGGATTTTTGGTAAAAGAAAAAAAAAGTGAGACTGCTTTTCTTTGTAAATTTAAACGCATACCTAGCTTGTCCAGGGAGTATGTCATATTGAAGTATTCTTCAAAATAATCAAAGATGACTTTGGTTGTGTTCGCTGCATACACTGCAGTTTTCAGTTGAGAGGGTTGTGCGTATATTCTCAGCTGTGACAGATAGAAAAACAGATAGATAGACAGATAGACAGATAGATAGATAGATAGATAGATAGATAGATGGATGGATGGATGGATGGATGGATGATAGATAGATAGATAGATAGATAGATAGATAGATAGTCAGTCAGATTTTCAATGCAGTATCGCTGAACTGACATAATAGCACATACTGCTTTACTCACAGGGATTCCACTGGCTGACCTTTTCTCCACGTACTTAAACTTGTGCACTGCAAAACATACCAAATAGGTACTCATGGGGACCGACTTCTTGAAGGTGGACTTTACTTTATTGTCAGGCAGTTGTTGTGGTTCTCCCTGTAGACAGAGATCGTTCGAGTTAATCAGTGACTGTGAATGTCACACCAGCCATAAAGTCTCCTCTGCTTGTTGGTTTTTAAGGGTATATGATAAACTCATCTTTTGACCTTTTATTGACTTGACTTTTGCATCTATGGCATCAGTCATTCCATTCATGTGTATGTAATCCCCCATTTTACTCCTCCAAATGAAACGTGTTATTTAGAATTTTAGAGATATTTTCTAGATATAATAATAATAAAAATAATAATAATAAATACAGGAATTGAACAAAAAGTACAGCTCTATATTAAGCTGGTCTGACTAGAATGATTTCAGTCCTACCTCCATAGGCATATTAGATAAACTGCTGTAGTCTGAATGATGAATGATAGAGATCTTGTATGTGGCCTTCTTGTTTGGTTCATCAAAGCAGGGAAATGACTTCCGGGCATCTGTTGGCTCATGATCAGTTGCAGCAATCTTCCTGGGGACCAAATAATAGTAGGGCTTGTTGCATTTCATTACAGTGTGGACATACAAAAGGGTAACGTCAAACATTTTCATTTAATGATGGCTAGATGAACTTGACATGCATTTTATACTTCCATTAAAACCCAGTTACAGCTAAGCAGTTTTTTCTCAGTTTCTCAGTATTAAACCACTACTTCTTTTAAACCACATCACAGAGGTACCTGCTGGATACAACCATCATGTAGAAGGAACAGTGAAAGTGAACTCCTCGTCACTGTGACACAGCTCACCACTGCACACAACCAAATGTGACCTCTGTTTTTAACCCATCACCACAGTGAACAGTGGCAGCTTTAAGAACCAGGGAGCAGTGAGTGGGGACGGAGCCATGACAGAGCACCTCAGTGGGAACTTGACAGCTGGGGGACTCCAACCTGGAACCTTCAGGACCCAGGTTCGCTTCCTTAACTAAGCCACCACTGCCCCAGAAGTAAGGGGTCCATGCTTACTGCCTACTGCTCATATATTCTCAGTGAAGTGACTGTTTGTCATCATCATCTAGCCTCCACTGTAGTTTAATTAATAGTTCCATAAAAAAAACCCAACAGAAATGCCTATAGCGCTGTGTGACAACACATTCATCCTCTCTACTCGCCCACTACTTCCCATGCAAAATTTTAATTAACGCCGTATGTCGGAATGATAATTAAGACTTTCTTAATAAATTTATGTTTGAAATGGTGACGTAACCATGAAACGCTGAAGCCTTCTGGTGGAAGGTGTGGGGGGGATTATGTAGCAATAGAAAAGGAAAGGAGAGCCAAGTTTATGACCTGTAACAACTGCTGCTGATTATTGAATCTGCTGAAGGCACTCTCACTGTCTGTGGATCACAGCCACCAGTGATCGCATCAACGCAGGCATCGTTGCTGCTTTTACTCCTCTTCAAGTGCTACGAAACATGTAATGACAATTGTAGTGATTGATGTAGTAATCATTACAGATTTACTGACTCCACATCTTGTCAAATTGGGTGAATATCGCCATTTTGATTTAGAAGCTTTCCAGAGAGCAGGCAAAGGAGTGAAAAGTTCATCTGCCAAATAATCACTGCTGCTTGTGTTGATATTAAGTTACTGTGAATTCTCAGTAGAATGTGACAAGAGCATTAACGATAGAATTTGAACTTTAACCTCTGACATTTACTTTTTCCTTCAGTGTCCCATCAGCTTTGTGCTCACTGTAGCTTCTTCAGTGAAGTCTCAGTGAAGTGGGATTAGCTGGTGAATTTAAAAAGAAGTTGACTGTTGTCTTTAAATAATCACCAACTAAAACAGGACCAAACATTTGCAAGGACCCAATACTGATTAAGGACAAAATATTTCTTGTTACTTTTTTCTTTGTTAAAAAAAAATCTACATATTCCTACATACTAGGAACGTCTTTAGTTCTATTTGACTGTGGTCACACAGGTCACATGGTGTTTTTATACTTACTTTATTTCGCCCTCCTCTTTGTAAACGACTGTGTAAAATCCCACCACAGAACCGTTGAGCCATCCTTGGAAGTCCAGGCTGAGTACATACACCTCTCCTGGATTCGTGACCTGCAGCTCTTTTTCAGCCTCCACTACCACGTACTCTTGAGGTTCATATTCGAAGCATCTTGTGACCTGCAGCTCCTGCTGTTCCCCCTGTTTGTTTACTATCTTTAATCTTGGCGTGGCACTGACAAAGGTCTCCCTTATGTGAAGCCATAGATGTTTTGTAGCCTTACTGACTTCCACTTGGATGTCCACAGTGCCTGTGTAAATGTCCGTCTCAAGGTCTGGCTCCAGGTTGAGGTCATAATGAACAGGTTTCACATAATTGGGGAGACGGAAACCAGTCCAGTCCCCATTGGAGTCCGTGGAGGGTTTGCACGGGCCTCGGCCAGGCGGAGGCGGCGGAGTAGTAGGCTCTGGTGTTGGAGATGTGGACTTGTCTGATCTGGAGAGGCCAACCCCGAGACCCACTGCCAAAGAGACCACCACCACTGTAGCACATATGATGATCACATGCTTACCCCGGATGCAGTAGCGCTTTTGTCCCTTGTCGTAGTCCATGCTTTCAACCATGATTAACCTCCTAATCTACAGAGAACTGTCAAACTGCAAACTATCTCACCGCAGACAGAAAGATGCAAATTTCACCTAATGTCAGAGCTCCTACATTATTTACTGTGAATGCTAAACTGAAGGTCGCTGCTGCAGTGAAGAAAGCGAAGACAGTTTTCTTCACTGTGAGGAGAATCCCACAGCGAGCAAGAACTTTATTTTGTCTACTGCACAGCTGACACACCCAGCGTCCCTCTTAAGCCGTGTTAAACATCAACAAACCAGCCTGTAAATCAATACCACATGTTTGTGTGTGTCTATATATTTCTACACCAGTCAGAAATGTCTCAGTGTTGGATTCAGTGGATACTGTTGTTAATAGCCAATGGACTGAAATAATGATTACAAGAGAGTGTAATGAAAACACAGCAATGGGTGCATTGTGTTCAGTCACATTATTAGGATTAATACTTAACATAGTGCAATTGAAAAAAAGGTGTATTTTACCAAAACCAAAACAAACCAAAAAAAGTGTGTTTTAAAAGAAACAATCAAACAAAAAAGTGTAATCTTGTCAACAATATTTGTTTGGCAACGATTTATCTTGAGCATCTGCTCTTTGAAGTTTCTAAAAAGGCTCTGATACGAGCATGTTACATTAAAACCTGTTGCAAGCTGTCACTAAAAACAACCTTAATATTTTATAAATCAGATGTTCCACTTGCGCTGGTTGTGGGTCAAAATGAAATCAAGAAAAAAATAAAGCAAGCAAGCAAAAGGAAATCAAAACAAACAATTTATTTAAACAATACATTTCCTAAGAAAGACTCCTCTTTCAAATTTTAAAGAGCACATGCGGTCATCAATTGGTGGTGTAATCAATGACAATTGGACGAGTATCGTTAATAAAAATGCTGCCATACCTTTTTTGTCCACGGGGAGGAGCTGCGACTGTGCTCTGCTCCCTGTGCGGTCAGTCTACTGCTGTACATACTGTGAACAATATACTAAAGGACCAAATAAATACGCGTCATACAAAAACCATAGAACAGAGTAATGGTTACATCATTCCATGACCGCAGGTGATGACACATTTAAGCGTGTGTGATATTTATACCTGCCTTTTCTTTTTTATGCTTTACTTTTTCTTATGTACACCAGTGATATTGGTGAATATACTTAAAATGACAATAAAGAAAACTTGAATTTTTGTTTGAACAATTATACTATCCTCAGTAAGAGTTATATATGTATGCAGTGGAACATTCATTGATTTAAAAATCGTTTTTTAAATATTATTATTTCTGTTGTTGACATATTTGTCGTCATTGTTACTACCATTCCGCTACAAAATATATTTAGCAGGGAACATGCGTATTCAATTAAAAGGTATTTTACTCCAACGTTTTTTATGTCATACTTTATAGTTTGTATGAAGTTGTTTTATTTATTTAATCGTATCTTGATTAAATTCCATTTACATTAAATATGAATACATATGAATGAATGAAGTGAATAAAAATGATTTCGTCAACAGCCCGGTTCATAACAGTTGTCCTTTTATCCTCCCTTCTTAACGCTATTTCTGCTTAACAAACATTCTGGGCTATTTATAAATAAAATATATAATAATGTATGAAACAAAATATAATATAAAAGTCATACCAAGCACACAAATGTATTTAACTTTTTTCATATTTTAAAATAAACCTCAAGGGAGAATAAATTGCGGAAGTGACGTTGATTAGAAAACGTTTTACTTTTAAACCTCCTTTTCCGCATGTACCGTAATACGCAGTGTAGAGCCTCGCACTTCTTTAGCACCCGTCCTATGCCCACATAGACTGTGAGTGTCCGCCTGAGGTTATTGTGGATTAAAATGTCGACAGAAAATGATCCATATTTCGTTTCTCGGCGTGTATTTGATGAGGCACTCTCAGTTAATCGAAGAGAAGGCGGGCGCTGTGCTCGATCTCCTTCTGTCGATGGAGTTCGTCAGTCGGTAACGCAGCAGCAGCGAGAGCAGGTAATAACAACTACGCCAATGTACAGTGATTGAAGACAAGGGGACTTGCAGATTGCATGGTGATCATGTCAGTTGGCAGTCTGCAGTCTGTGTCAGGGTAAAAGCCATATCTTACAGCCCTGACATGAAAAACATCTGTGGAAATGTTCAGGAACATGCATTAGCCCTATATTTACTAGACTGTAATGAATGTATAACCCTAACCCTATATTTTGTATACATACAAAATATTTTAAACTTTGACTAGTTTTTGGAACGTTGATTACCTAGAGTACTAAGATAAGGAAAACTTAAAGAGGGTGAAGGAAAACTTAAATGTAATAATAATAATAATAATTTATGATAAAGGTTCCAGTTGCAGCTACGTTTTTTATTATTAAAAGTGGAATGCTTTGTTATAGGTGTATCTGCTGCATTTTTTTCAAAGGGACGCACGATAATATCGGTGGCTGATAGATTTGTCAATCTGTTGAAATAATTTAATCTAAGACCATAAATTGACTGATGCAAGCTACAGTTGCAACAGTATGGAAAATCCACGGTTTTCTCCAGGAGTACTTCGGTATTGACAACACGGTTCGGTACGTTTTCATTAAGATAGGACATGTGGAGAGTCACAAAAAATGTACTTTATTACCAAAAATATTGACAAACGCTAAAGTGCTAAAGAAATCATTATGAAAACATAACCATAACATTTGGTAACATTGCAGGGAGAAAACAACAAAACACAACAGACGAGATTGTAATCAATGTCACAGTGACAGTTCTGCTCGGGCACATTTCCACTCACAGTTTTGTTTTTAGATTCTGATTTGCATGTAAGAACACAAACGCATTGATGTGTGCTGGATGAAGACTCTACTGGTGCCTCCTGACGTGCCTGTTGCGTTCATCTAAGTTCAGCCAAACTTTGAAATGCAAAACCCCAAACAAATAAATAGACTGCTGGCCTGTTGTATTTGGTCTAGTCATACCTAGGGTTTCCCTACTTTCCCTATGGTTAACATCAACAGTAGGTCATCAATTCTTACATAGAAACTGTGGAACTTTTTTAAAATTTAATGTTCCCTATTGTGGTAATGAAAAGTTATAGTTTAGACTGTGTGAATATCTGAAAAATAAATGTTATTAGGGGAAATTAGGGAAAATATACATTGGTTGATATACAGTATAACTAAGTCACTTCCATTGATAACAGCAATGCACTTTGGGCTGTTCTCCACACTATCACACAACAGCCTCTCCCACAGGCTGTGGTTGCCATAGTCAAGGCCACTATGTAATACCTTATAGATGTATGACATTTAGTCAGCAGGTGTCACCAGTCAAGGGGGGGGTGACATTTGGAAATCTATTCCAAGAGAATGGAATGAATAAACCACATTCCATCAAAAACCCATATCAGAAAATGGTTTAAAAGAAAACAGATCTGTGATCATTCATTTTATGCCTACGTTTTGTATTTAATACCGTATATTTTCATATTTCTTGGTATGTTCCCAGTGTCCCATTGTTAGATTCGATTATATCAGACTTTATTGATCTCACACTGGACACATTCTTGTGTTACACAACAATGGGACAGAGGGTAAGGTCATTGTACCATAAGTAAAGGTAAAAAAAAACTACAAGAGCTGATTGACCATGAAGACAGGAGAGAGAGTTCAGTATTGTTGCCACCTATCTGTCTTGTTGTGTTGCTGTGGAATGTTGTATTGGTTAAGACTTTTGCCTAGTTCTTGCATATTTACATTGACATATTCAATAATGTGCGCATTCCCTTTTAAATAAGTTAAAAAAAATCTGTTAGAATCCTCTTTATTAGTTCCAATTATAAACCAGACTGTCAGATTTTGACAGTTGGGATAGATTACAGGGAAAGTAAAAGTAAAGACCCACAATAGGAAAATGTATGGGGAGTATGAGAGCAAAAGGTGTAAATATGCAATCCGGAACAACAGGTCAAATCTTTAAACCTTTCTCTACACTAATACCCACACTCACAACAGAAACATACAGGAACAAAGTAAAGTAACACAGAACATACAATTTTCTTACTTACCGTATATAAACCTCAGGTCCAGTGGTGACCATCATTTTCACAACAGAATACATTCTGGAGCAAAGACGGTAGTTGACTGCTGTCGAAATGAGAAGTAGATAAGGAGCGGAAAGCAAATGTGTTTTGACTAAAACTTGACTAAACTCAGTTTGCCGATTTATACCGATTTTAATTGGGTTTATTGCTTGGTGCCATAGAGTTAGTGAGTTGCTGTGTTTTTAACTTCAACATTGTCTTTACAGAATAATGGCAATGAGACTCCACACCCTCCTCCATCGTTCAATATGGCAGAACCCACCACTGGACAGCCTCAAATGGACGACTGTCAGCGCATGGGTACTTTGTTTGGCATGCTCAACAAGTGCCTGCAGAGGATAGGCTTTACCCAAATGTACTTTGGGGACAGGACTGTAGAGCCCGTAGTAATAGTCTTATTTTGGCTGTTGCTCTGGTTCCTGGGTATTCAGGCACTGGGCCTAGTTGGGACTCTATGTATCATTATTATCTACATTCAGAAATAGAGAGAAGATCACGACAGAGACTGCTTTTTTTTCTTTTTGTTTGTCGGGAAGTAGTCGGGTAGTGTGGATTGACATACTCAGCATGTATGTGCTTTCACTCACGAGCCAAGTCCAGTTTGCTATAGCCTTCACTTATGTAAGGCACAAATGGGATATTAAGGGCATGTATACCATCAGCGATCAACCTGTGTCTGCATACAACAAATGTCACAATTAGCTTTTCTGTTCAGCCTTTACCTTTTCTGTTTAGATGTTCCGGAGGCCCGATGGGGGCTCATCTACGGTTTGCATGTCAGCTACAGTAGCACATCACTGTCTAATCATGTTGGTGGCAATATTTATTTAAATAAATATTTAAAAAATTGACTTTAGCTTGATGTTTTATGATAAGATGCAACTGTTAAACTGTCACTGAAGTGTCACATGAGAAACTGTGATTAATGTGAATTAGAAGTATTGATCATGTGACTTAAGGATTGAAGTGGGGGAGGGATAATAGTGTGAAATATAACAGCAAAAAAAAAAAATACAGCGTGATTCTTGTGAATAACAGGAGAAAACCTTAATATATAAATAAAATAAAATAAAACTTGATATTACTGACCTGACTTCAAACTACCTTACTTCCTGACCAATTCCTTGTGCTACCAGAGGCCTGGAGCAGAAAGTGGTAGCAACTTTTAACCTTACACCAAGTGCCTAGGCAAACTGTAATGGGTCCACTGGTGGACTGGCGTTTTCAATTTTGGCAGATTTTAAAAGCAATAACGAATGTGTCAAGAGTCAAATGAGTTGAGACAACAGCCCTATCTACAGGTGGATGACAAACTACTAAAAAGCTTTTGTTGGTCATAAATTAAGCTGTTTTAAAAAAAACACATTTATTTTTACCGTTGACATAAGTATCCAGTGCTTTCGTCAAGTCAAATTTATTTGACAAATTCGCTTAAGACATTTTCCCCAATGGGCTTGACAATTGAAAGTTAGAATTTAAACTATCCTGTTTAAGCATGATGGCAAAATCATTATCTGTGCCGGTGAAAACAGTCAAAATTACTTTTATTAATTGTAATTATACTTACCTTTGACTTTTATTACAATTATTTGGCATACCCAACAGTTATGCTGAACAGTTATACCAGTTATACCAGTTATGATACATTTTTAAAAAAAAAAAATCAGTACAATCTGATAAGAGTAAAGGTGTAGACAAAATGCTACACATATTTTTTCTGAAGAACTACTGTTACTAAACTGCACTTGGTTGAATGTGCGCTTTTACTGCCTTTTATAATGGCATTTAAGTAATTATTCTTTCTACATTAAATTATGTATTTGTTCAACACTATAATTACAATGATTTTAAGTCAAGTCAAAATGCAAGACGGCTGCTGCGTCTTGGAGCTTGTGGATTGTGATTGGCTATAGTAATAGTTGCTCAGTCTTTTTAAATAAACAGTTCTTTGTTTCACAGACGTAAAGTGAAGGTTCACTCTTAAAAGGCATGTGACGTTGCTATGTGTCTATAAGGGGCATGAAGAACTGCACTACCCAGAATGCTCAGCACAGCAGCAATGTAGCAGGACTTGTTATAATCAACATTTCGCTCAGTGAAGTTAAGATAAAACCTTAACCTGACCTCCCAGCCTTCCTTTAAAATTCACGAGGAGGCGGAAGCAGTGGATGGCGTCATTTCCGGACATCGCAATAAGTGGCCCACAGATCCTCTCATTGCACAAGGCTTGGATATTATGTTTTTACAAAACCGTCTATATCCCTGTCCAGCCCACTAGACTAGCCGTTGGGCGAGGCCTAAGCTCCTTCCGTGTCTTGACTTGTCTCGTGACTGATTGAGTACGGACTGAAAAATAGAAACGGAAACAACAAAAAGTATCACGTGAGTTCTTTCTCTTCTCGTTGTCCGAGTATTTACGTCCTTTGCCAGTCAATGCAGACGGGCACTCAGACCAGGTATTGACATTAACGTAGATCATAACAGAATTAATCGTAAGTTATCTTTAATGTTTACTTTTACATCTACTGAACATCAATATTCAAATATTTCTGTGAAGGTTCTAAGACCTTCGGCTTAGGGCTTTTAAGGCTATCCTCAAAAACGACAGAATTGTACAGCCTGAAATATTCTGTAATTTGTTTCCCTTTTTCTTCTACAGCCACTTCATGATCGACGGCAGCTAGCAATGGCCGATGTGAGTATTTCGGGTTGTTTTGGTTTTCTTTGCTCTGAACACCAAGGAACGAAACGAACAAACATGTCTCTACAGCATATGTTGTGTTTTTTAAAAAAATAATTGCTACTTATTTTTTTTTGTCTCTACAGCATATGTTGTGTTTTTTTTTTAAATAAATGCTACTTATTTTTTTCCATTAAACTGAAAGTTGGTTGAGCCATTTGATGTTGTTAACATCAAAATCAGAATTGTGAACGCCGGTGTGCACCTGTTGCAGTTTTTAACAAGAATGGCTAGCATTTCAGTGGCTATATCTTACTCGACGTATTTATACGATACAAAGTGCAGATCATTTTGACATTAAACAACTGATTTTTTTATAGGATTTAAAGAGATACCTTTACAAACAGCTGCAGAGGTGAGCATTAATCATGTTGGTTAATATTTAACGTTCTTGTTGTATGAAGCAGTTAAAGCATCAGTGCTTTCTGTATGACTATATATGACTGTATACCAAGTAAAATCCAACCTCTGAACTGTAGGTGTTCAGCCAGGGATTTGGTGCATTAGGTATAAAATCCATGTGCTTTTGTTCTCATCAGTATTGAAGGTCTTCATGCTGTTGTGGTGACTGACAGAGATGGTGTACCGATTGTCAAAGGTAAGATATAAAAATCACACATAATCCAAAGATTCTATGAGATCATCATTCAGACATCATTCAGTCTTTCAAATAATATTTTGAAAAGATGTAATGGTTATAAAAACCAACACTCACAATCAGAAGGCTAATGGTTCAGACAATAGCAGGGAGACTAAAAGCTGTGCAGTTTTTTTTTAATGTCATGGATTTATTTCTTTTGTTTCTGCAGTTGCAAATGACAATGTGCCCGTCCACGCTCTTAGACCGGGATTCCTATCCACATTTGCCCTGGCCACAGATCAAGGCAGCAAACTGGGGTTGTCACGAAACAAGAGTATCATTTGCTACTACAATACCTACCAGGTCAGATGTCACTAATAATATACATATAATATATTTAAATTCATAATGAAAACGTTTCTAGGCTGATTATATTCTCCCTTTGAATGTGTCAAGTAACATTGACCTATACACTATGGATATTCACCATAGATCAGTAGCTCCATCTCCAGCCTGTAGAACACACAAATCCAGCATGTAACTGGATGCCAAGAATGATTTAATTTTACTTAAAAATTTTTTTTACTTAAAAAAAATTCAGTTGTCTAGGGATGGCTCAGTCCGATACTCAGGATGAGTATTGGTCCGATATTGGTCACAATTTCAAGATCGAACATTGGAAATAAACAACTGTAGGTTGTCTGATCTCAACTTAACTTTGAGCAACATGCCTTAAACAGGGACACTACTGCCTCAGCAATGGCAGTCCATGGCATGTTGGAGGAGAAAAGAAGGTATCGGATTGGGTATTGGATATTGGAACAACAAATTCAAGTTAAATTGCTGCTTCGAAAAAGGCTCATTTTAAACCCCCAACCTCTATTGTTGTATCAGCTGGAGCTATGTCAACTTGCTTCAACTCTTAGAAACTACTATAAATCCAGGTGTGCTAAAACATGGCGTGTTTTTAATTTGAAATCCTTATGACTCCTAATTCAACAGATCCTGCAGTTCAATCGTCTACCACTGGTCATCAGTTTTATTGCCAATAGCAGTGCCAACACAGGTAAAATGGTGAAATTCCATTCTTTCATTATGGTCAGTTTTAACTTGTTTTCATTGCACACAGCAATGTCATGTCACATGACACTAGGGTTTTTTGAGTGGTTTTTTGAGACTTCTTTTGTGTGCAAGTTGAAATTCTCTATTAGACATGAAGATCATATACAACAACACTTCAGTGAACATGTGCTCTCTGCTAAAATAAAATTGTCTTGTTTGTAGGTATAATGATGAGTCTTGAGAAAGAGCTGTCTCCTCTCATAGATGAGTTGAAGCAGGTGGTGGAGGTCACATAAACACAACCAGCTTCACACCCTGCTCCCTCTGTCCATCTGACATGGTGCACCGAGGACACCTGGCCTACTGTCAAACATGTCTGCACCATTGGTAAAAGATTCTCTACCCCCTTTTTTTGTTTTCGGATCTTTCCTCTGAATTGCTTTTTCTGATTTACTCATCACGTTAACTGATGAGAAATGTCTGTGTCAGAATAAATTGAAATTGAAAATCAAAAGGAGTTTTCAACTGTGTAGAGATAATGCCATTGCTTGGACACAAGTAGTAGCAACAAAAGCAAATAACTACTACATATATACAGTGTGTGTGTGTGTGTATATTTCAGAACGTCTAAACTGGTAAATTCATTTTAATAGATTGTTGTAATGCTGATGTTGGACTCTCCCATTCAAAGTATGAATGTTAGAATGTCATTCAAAGTAATTACAACAGTGATTTAAGTTCAAGAACTTTGTCTTGAACCTTGTCACCCCTGTGCCCTCCTTAAGTTCATTGCCCAATTATGTCATCATACTTGGATATTTTTTCAGATTTCTCATATACACTATCTCTTAAGCAACTTCATTCCTTCATTCAATCATTTCCAGGATTTCTAAACTTGATGTAAAGCAGAAATTGGCCAAATCTCAACTGATTTATTTTCCTACCAGAGAATCCTGATGTTTGAACAAAATCTCTGGTACAAAACCAGATAAATCCCAGTAAACTGGATGATCCTACTAGAAAAAGGTAGTAAGAAATGTAAAAAGTGCAAATAAAATAATTAAAGTTCATAACTGGCTCCAGCTGGCTCTAGAACATGGTCTAAAAATCCCAGTTGATTTGGAAATAGCTGTGGCAGAACCAGCTATAACAGCTATTCCCCGGAAAAGCTGATAAATATAATGACCTTAACTTTTACTGGTCAATGTTGTCAACTAGAGTGTCTAATAGAAGAAATGACCTCTCATCACAGCCACCTGACTCGACACGGTTTACCGGTTAAGGCAACTAGAGGTCCAACCTGCAGGACTGGATTGACTTTGCGCAGTTGTAACAACTCAATAGACCATTCTGTAAAGGCAATTTCTGTGTGGATAATTCCAAATCGATTAATGAAACGTTGTACAATCTCTGAGCCGAAGATAAAAGAAAAACTCTCTATGATGACCAAATTACTTCCGTCCTTTGATCATCACCTGTTTCGTGCGTATGGTTTCTTTGTGAGAAACGGCAGAGACGACGGTGCTGCTAACTTTAGGAATATATGGTTTGGAGAGGAAGCAGACAGAGACATTAGGAATGCAACTGATGTCCAAAAGTCAACGTAATATTAGTGGATATCATTTGCCGATTTATTTTAAACCAGTCTTTAGATCACTGACTACAATTGCAGGAGTAACAAACAATTACAGAATTTAATGGCATCGGCTGAAAAGAAACAAGAAATGGATGTAGCGGCAGGCATGCATTTAATTGATGCATTTCTAACAGACATTGTGCAGCAGGTAAAAAGAGACGTCGGTCACATGATGAAGTTGGTCCAGCAATGGGATCTACAGGAATGTGCTACGTCGTCAGACAGGGAAGATGAGAGCAGACTTGGCCCAGTTACAATACAAAAAGTGGACGAATACTTGGATTGTTTTTTTGCAAGGCGGGCATTGGTTGCTGAGGATTGTAGAGAGTTGCCAACGTCTGAAGAAGACCCCCAATTAGAACAATCAATTTTACCAACCACAGCAGAACTAGTTGCAGCCATACGCGTCATAATTCCAGCTATGCTAAATATGATTCAGGGAGCTCCAGGCAGACCTGAGGTTGAAACAGCCACACAAGATGTTGCAGGCAGTCTGTCCGATATCTTCGAGGAAACCGACCATATATCCGTAGCAGTTCCAGTAAATGTCAGAGATGAAGTTGATGATGATAGCGTTCCTGAATATGTCACTAAATCACAAGTCGCCAGTAAAGCCCCTTCTTCTATCTCCCCTACACAAATTACGCAGGCAGAAATCCTCGAAAAAGACTTGGGCATTTCTTCGTCTATTTCTGATGAAACTTTGAAAACTGCTGTTGAAAGTGAAATGGATACATCAGGACCTGTAAGACGCCAGATTTACTTGGAGACATGTAAAGACATCTCTCCAGCTTTGTTAGACTATGGTGAAGATCAAGAAGAAAACCTGAATCGCACAACTTTGATTCCCATTCACTCTATAAAGTCTCCTCATGACATGGGAATACAAATTCCTCTAGATCTAAAACCTACCTCTCCAGAAATAAATGTAAGCACACCAACAATTTTCATTAGGGATTTGAGTAGTCTTGCTGATATTCGTAAGGCTGTGATCACCACTGAGGAGGCCGACACTGACCATTATCCTTTTGAAGACCCCTCATTAACAGAGAGCAGCAGCGGTAAAGATGCTATGATTGCAAGTCCATCCTCGTTCCACATCATTCAATCACAAATGGACGACAAAACTTACGTTTTCCAAGTGCCTGTAATTATGGAAATACCTGACAACGTAGACCGTGCCAGAAGTCCAGCTGAAGACATTGGCAGTGTATCATCAGTCGTGTCGGAGATGAGCTGGGGAAAAGATTCGGATTCCTCCCTCAGCCAATCAATAACGTCACAGGAGAGTGGAAGAACAGCCTTTATCTCCTTCCCTGCACCTACCACTGTTGAAATACCTGAGGACAGTAGTTCTGATACGCCCCTCATATTGGATGCAATGTCTTTATTTAGTGCCTCCCCTGACAATAGAGTAATCCTTGAGGGGACAGATGGTGTTGAAGCCCTTACGACTGCCTCTGGAACCATATTAATTTTGTCAAAGGAAGCTCTAGATGAAAACGTGACAGTATTATCCCCCATCCCCTCAACAGAGCATCAATACATGATTGAATCACCTTCTCCTCCTTCCATACCTTCCAGTAGTGTTATAATTAATGTCCCGATATCTAATATCAGCCAAGCCATGGTAAAAGATGCCCCAAGCACCACTGCCGGAAGTGTGCGTGTTCCCACTCCTGAGGCAAACACATTAATAACTGATGTTGGCCAGATTGTTAAGGGCAGCCCAATAACTCTCGTAATGTCAGAAGATGGCAGAGATGACAAAATCCTGGAAGCAAGATCATTTTCTGGCTCCCCCACAGACTCCGATTTTCTTCCTTCCCCTCCTACAACCATCATCCAGACAATTCAGAACATCCCTCTTTGCATCAGCACAGCCTTGCAAAATGGGGTCCTGAGTTTTGCTGATGGTACCCTGGCTGCAGAAATGACACAGGGTCACTTTGCTGACACTGAGAACCGAAGACTCCTGTCAGCTGAACCCGAGGATGTTTCGGATAAAGAGGTCCCAGGGACAGGAGTTTTAACCAGCTTGTCTTTCACATCAATGGACAGCAGAACAACATCGTCACCTCCCCTTGCTATAATCACCCCCTCCTTAATTACTGACAGCATCTCAAATAGCATCGCACCAACATTTCCAGAAAGTGATTTGAGTGTTGCTGCTGAAAGAAGAGTAGTTATGCCTGAAGATGAAGCGTCTCAAACAAGACCATCAACTCCTGCCACACTACCGGACGCCACGCCTACCACCACAGGTGAAGTGCTTTATGTTTCTGCTGAAAACTTGATGAAATTACTTGTTGGCCCTCAGCATCCCAGTGAGAATGTCACATTACCCTTCCTCTTAGAACAAAGTAGGGCCGCAGAGGCCCTCAAAGACACCAGTACTGCAGTGTTAGACGAAAGACATTTTGGTGAGGAAGAAACAACTCCTTCCCCAGTACCAACAACTGCACCAGTGTATATCAACCTATCCCCTTCTTCTATGTCGGATGGTATTCCACTACCTTCCATTGTGTACGATAGCATTGCATCCATTCTGGAGGCAAAAGATATTTTACCCACGACCCCTAGAGACTCCTGCAGTGTCCCCTCAGCTCCAGCAGAGGCTCAACCTCACATTTCTGAGAAAATGTCATTCCCCATCGTCACTATAAAACAACAGGAAGGACGTGATGCACTTCCTACTGACTCTCCTATAGGTATCACCACAGCTGTACCTGATGACATACTATCTAGCCTTTCTCTATACGTATTGGATAAAGTTTCAGCCCAAGATATGGGTCCATCTCCTGTACCCACCAGTGCAGCAGCAACTGATGACACCCTTCCTAGTACCAGCACAGAAGTTAAAAATTTAGTTGAGAGTTTTTCCACAGAAATTCTAGATCATTTTCCTATGGTCTCTAAAGATACCTGCGCTATTCCTTTAGATGTGCTGAAAGAATGTTTGGATGTGGTGTCTTCCAGTCAGTCCGTCGGATTACAGGATTCTGAAATTGCAACTACTATCGCTTCCCTCTCACATACTGATGCAGTACCAACTGACGGCACCCTTTCTGTCATTACAACAGCTATGCTGGGCAAGGTTTTGGATGTTGTCGCTGAAAATCGTTTGCAAACATTTAACATTGAGCTGGCAAAACATGACTCGAGCGTTACAGAATCCCCAGGTGACATTCAGTCTGAGCTGGAGACCATCGAGAAAGATCAATCCTCCACTGTCTTTAGCTTTCAAGACGGCAGGATATTAGCCCATGTGCCAACCTCATCCTCTACCCCACAACTTGACGATACCCAATTAGGAATCACCCAAGCTATGCTTGATAGTCTTTTAGTTGCTGATACCAAAGAAAGCGCAGAAATGTCTACCCTGATGGTAGCAGATAGACCAGCATTAACACCGTTATTGGCTCTAGCATTAAATGCTCAGGCGATAACTTGCGCTGATCCATTAACCACCAATGTGACACACGATAACCTGAATTTAGGTCATATCTTTTCGGCTGTTTCAAGGGAGACAGGCCTTACAACCACATCAGATTTCATTAGGGAATTATCTGTACCTATGACTTCGCCAATGTTGGATAGAATTACTAATGTTGCTGAAGAACTTAGGGTGACTACGTTATTTCCCAATGAGGATTTGGAGACCTCAGCATATTCCCAAATTATTTTTCCAGTTCCACTTTCCAGTGACCCCTCAGTGTTACAGGACAGTAGAACGATGCCTTTTACAGCTTTATCACCATCTGCTAAAGCCATACTTGTTGATAAATTACCTGCATTCATCCCAGCCATGTCAGATGATCCTAAAACAAAACCTGCAGAACATCTCAGAGTCATACACCCCAGCTTTGCAAACATTTCCTTTGACAGGTACAAGCCTGGGATCTCCTCGTATGTCCCAGAGTCTGTCAGAAAGGACGCCACAGAGAAAATGCCCTACAGCAGCCGAAAAAGCCCCACAGAAAAGAGTAAGAAAGGAGTTTTCAGTGTTTTTTCTAGTGGCCTGAAGTCTGTTAAGGAGAAGCTTCGCATGTCCTCAACTACGTTGGAGATAAGCAGAGATAAAGTTGCTGAAACAGGACTGTGCTCTACTATCTGTAAAACATCTACTTGTGTTCCTTCTAGTTGCTTTAATGTCTGTAAGGAAAAATGTTGTATGTCTTCGTCTGTGTCAGAGTCCAGCATAGATGAAGACTCTGAAACAAAACTTTCCTCATACAACTCTACCAAGTCTGAGACTGGCAGAAAAATATGTTCTGAACTTTCCTTTTTACCCTCAACTGAGACAACAAATGACGACAACATTATCGACTTTGCTCAAGCCTTGTTGAATGGATTTATAAAAGTCGATTTGGAAGAGAAGAAGTCCACACCTCAGGTGGGAGAGGTTTCCAGTGATGCTTTAAAACAAAGTTGCAGTATGGGCCCAGCTATGTCCGAGTCTGTTAAGTTTATTAATTCGTCCGACTCGAGATCATCATCCATTCAAAATTATGAGTCGCATTGCAGGAGCATTTCTCCAGTTAAGCCTTCTTCGTCTACTTCAGCATTACCTGATAGTACCTTACCAGTAAGTACACCACCAGCACTGGATGGAGATTTAGCTGATGCTAAAATTGACTTGACAGACTCCACCCCAGAGGTAGACAGTTGTTCTGGCACATTTCAGGAGCTTTGCTTTCCAGCTGTGCCAAAGGATCTCGCATTGACTGAAGGCACTGGGACTGCCTTAAGAGACCAAAAGATAATTGCCTCCCAGGACTGCTCCGCACCAAGCACTACAGCAAATAGTAAAGTCCCTGGTTTTACGCAAACTCTCTCAGTCAGAGTTAGTTTACGGAGTTTGTGTTCAAGAAGCGACAAGAAATGACAACCCTACACTGCACAAATCAGGCTGTTTACAGAACACCAACGGCTCTAAACCAATATGCATTTTTCCTGGGAAAATTTCTAACCCTAAACAAACACAAGACACCAGAATGTATTAAATGTAATGGAGAAGTAGCTATTTTATAAAAAGGTGAAACTAAATTGCACAAATTCAAAATCATTGCAACAATTGATTTCGATTTTTCACCAAGACCTCCGGGATGAATAAAATCAAATATGATCAATGAACCTCCTCTTGTGCTTTGAAGGAGTACAGGTGCTGTAAAAAACACCATTCTACTGTGAGATGGTAGGTGAGAACCCACTGATTCTAGGAGGATGAAGTGTGGAGAGGCTGCTGACATGCCAGTGGAGGTATGGAAATGTTCAAGAAAGAACAATGGACTTTCTGGTGTGGTTGTTAAACACAGTTCTGGAGAGTGTAAATCAGTGTTTCCCAGACGTTTTTTCTGGCGACCCATATTTTTAAAGTCACAAACCTTCGTGACCCAAGTCAATACACATTATTCGTAAACTCCTGGGAAACATGACGTGAGACGACCCCAAAAACTCTTGCGACCCACCTGAGGGTCGTGACCCAGTCTTTGGGAAACAATGGTGTAAATGTAACTGGAATATACGCTGTATAAAGTAGCAAAGTCATTAGAAAGAAAATACACACATTACTGTCACAACTGCATTTATTAAAAAATATATGCAGTCCTGGTATTCAAATTAATTTATTAAAAAACAAGCTTGAAAAAACAAAACAAAAACAACTCACTATTTTCTGCCCATCTTCATGTGTTGCTAAAGTGGTTGGACAGTATGTGTAAACACATTCAAGAGAATGTAGACTTATAGTCTGTGCGAAGAATACAGTAGAAACATAACTTTTTCTCCAGTCCTGGGAAAGGTTAGTCCTGGTGTGTGCCTTCACAGGTCAATAGCTCGGCGAACTTTAAACTTCTTGGTTGCACGCTCACTAGCCCGCTGCTCGAACATACATCCATTGATGTGAGAGACAAAGCCGTTGATCTCCACTGAAAACACACAGTTTCTTTTTGGAATCACTGCCACACAGTAAGGAAAAATGGGAAACATGTTAGTCCTTGAGGTGCAATTGATATTCATATGTTGTGCAGGCATCTTTAAGAACAACTGTTAAACAAACAAAAAAAATCTCAAAGAAAAATGTGATTTTCTTTTACATTCACTGCAATGTTTTTGTGATGGGAAAATTAACAACCAGAAGGAGGGGGTACTTGGTTTATGACGTCCTGAATCTCCTATAAATTTCCTATAAATACGAATACATCAGTATGCAGAGCTATGAGCAGAAGACGGCTTTAGTAAGACACAATTGTTCTGTTCAAAATTATGCCAAATGTCAACAGAAAAAGATGAATCATTGATAAATGATGGCCCATTCAGGTACAGTCTATGAATAAGACAGTCCAATTTGGTAAATATTTGGAGTAGAAATTTGGAAATTTGTTGTTAAAGCTACATTTTGAAAAGCTGATTTTGACAACTTTTAGTAAAGTCTCACCTTTAAATTTGTTCTCCTTGGTGATGAGTTTAAAGACATGTTTGAACTCTTGGACTACGATTCCTGTAGTGCCCACATACGAAGGACATGTCGAGGAGATAACTGTGAGACAAGAAACAACACACAATAAAAGTTTACACATTAGGATTTCTAGTGTTAATTTCCTAAACTATAAAAAACATTTACTTACAGATGTCATGTTTGATATCTAGTTTAAATAGTCATCAAATGGTGTTATTCAGAGTTTTTGGATCATTTAACAAATATATCATCAATGAGATTTACAGTATTTATCAAATAAACCATAATAGTGCTACCCTGTAAACTATAAATAGCTGTCCACACTTAGCATTCTTTGGGTCTGCAATTTTATATTTTTAAAATGTTTTTCATTCAAAATTAATATATAGATGTGTATATATTCACATATATACTTCATTATATATTTTTAAATATAAGCATGTCATTCATGTGTCAGACATTTGTCTTATATTAGCTACTGTGTATGTAATATTGATATATTCAATAACAGCCTGGCAAACTGTACAGGGTGTACCCAACCCTTGCTTAAAGGCTGCTGGGATTGACCTCTGCTCCCTCCGCAACCGTAGGAAGCATTAAGGAGTAATTTATTAATTAATTTTTAAAAATTAAAGTGATAAGGAACATTCCCCTCAATTCTGAGGACCCCTCGACCCACTTCAGCACTCCTTCATGCTACTGCCATCAGACAAATGCAACAGAACCCATCTTTACAAGAAACACTATCCTGTCTGCCGTAACAGCTCCAAAAAATTAAAACAGTCAGCACTGTTTTTGTCTGCTGTTGTGTGTGTGTTTTTGTCTGTTTTATAGGTGATAGTGTCCCTGTTTATGGCATGTCACGCAAAGTTGGGGTTAGGTATCAGTTCGGACAGAACATACATTAGTTGTATATTTCCATTTTTAGCAGTGTGTGATACATACTAATCCATGTAGAGAACATCAAACAACTATTTTTATTTTATGGTCTTTATTGTCATTGTACCACGGGGATTCAACAAAACTGAGCCTCTGCTTTGAACCCATCACCAAGGTGAACAGTGAGCAGCTTTAAGCGCCAGGGAGCAGTGAGTGGGGACGGTGCCATGCTCAGAGGTGACTTGGCAGTTGGTGGACTCGAACCTGAACTATCATTTATGAATCAAAAACGTACCTGTGATTATGGCACCATGGAAATCTGCTTTCAGAAATTTCTGTTGCACAAACTGCAGGTTGCTGTAAAGTCAACACAACATGTTAGTTTGACTAAGTTGATGTACGCTGCTGAACAATAAGAAAAAAACACACACTGAAATAATATTTAGGAACAAATAATTTAAAAAAATTCAATTCCATACATAAAACCAGAGTTCCTGTTCAAGTTTAGAGCTAATGCTGAATAATAGAAGAGTAGTATGTTCAAACAACTGAAAGCAATGCAATATATTATAAAATCAATACAGTCCCAATTCAGTCAGTACCAGGGGATACATGTCTCTACATTATGAGGTAAGTCACTAGATGGGGGTATTATTATTATTTGAAATGTTTTCTTTGAGGAATTAGTGTTACCTTTGGTGTTTCCAAAGTGTGGTGTGACCACTCCTGAAGGTGCACAAGCTGTCACTAGGGGGTGCACGAGATAAGAAATGTGATGGCAGTTTGGAGTGGGTTTTTTTATTGGGACTTTTCTACACAATAAAGATGTGTAGATAAATATTTCCTTTTTGAAATTTAAACTCTGACATAGTTGATAATTTGTTTTTTTTGAAGGAGTGGAAAATTGGGGGTGTGTCAACCCTGAAAGGATATGGAAAGGGAGGCACGGCCCTGGGAACCGCTGCCCCAGGCAACAGCCCAGAGTCAGCTCTGATTGTCAACAGTAAGCGGTGGTTAACAGACCTACCTTGTCGGTTTCAATCCACCACAAAGGTCAATGATATACTGTCTCCAGAGTTCGTGCAAAGGAAGGAAGACCTCGTAGCTGAAATGATGGAGATAAAGGAATTTCATACCATGGAATTTGTAAGCACACAGCTGAACGATCTTTAATGTCGACCAACCTCTGATGCTTTTGTTTGATCTGAAAGATTTTCATTGCCCTCTTTTGCCGGGCATTCAAGCCCTTGACTTTCTTGTGTTCTTTCAGTTTATCCTTCTTAGGCCGTGTGTAGTTCAGGACTACGGCTTTGTGGCATAACATGTCGCTCAGGTCATACCTTGAGTGATGCCGAAGGCTGTTTTTTAGAAACCTTTCCGTAGAGGCCTTGGCCTTCGTGCTGCTCTGTGACTGGTGATGGGAAAAGTACAATAACACGTTTAACTATGCTAGTAATTATTTAAAATAAATCAAATATTTGAGAGAAATACAAAAAAAAAAAAAAAAAAAAAAAAGACAACGACTAGCAAGCTTGAAGACTCTCAAATCAGTGACCAATACTGACCACTGAGGACTTACCTCAACACTAAGAACCTTTACAAGGTCCCGTGGAACTTTTGCCTGGAGTAGTGAACCTGTTGGCAACCAAACATAACCAACGACAACACAAAATCATTACCAATACAGTGAAAACAATTACAAGAATCTTGTTTTTGTATACACATACTTAACTATAATTGGATTTTAAAGATCTTGAGTTCCTTTAATTAAAAGACTATATAACAAGTAAGTAATAATTTTCTGCTAGCAGAAAAACGTCGGTTCTAAATCAATAGTAAACTGCAGTGCTTGTTCGTGGAAATAAAAATCAACTTAATAAACAAACAACTTGACAGCAATGCGGTACGTAAGGGTCCCTTTACAACAACGACAATAATAATCTTAAAGAGTATCGTAACGTTTGTAAACGTGAATTTAAAGCTTCTTTTGTAATCGGTCAGACCTTCGACACCTTAGCATATATTCCCAGTCTGAGTCAATAACACCTCACCATCCATTCCAGCGTTGCTTCAGATCTAATATCAGATCGTCTTGCATGAGGAAGTTATCCATACATCGTTTCCGGTAAGCGTTCTTCTTCGTGTCTATATTATGTGTTTGAGGAGTGGTACCAGCACTGCCACCCACAGTGCAGGAGTAGGACCCAGCGTCAACCACCCTCTAATTTAAATTCACTAACTAAATAACCAACTGACTAACTAACTAAGTAAAACACTCTTAGATTATTTTAATTATTCCTGTTTCTCCCCGTTCACCCCTCCTCTCCTTTTTAACAGAAAATCAGGTCCTATTTCATCCTGAGCAATCCTTTCTTCCCCACTGAACATATTATATTGCTTATCGATATCAGTGTAGTATTCATTGCTATCATTGCTATTAAGAGTGAACAGTTCTTCTCATTTCAGACACCCCAAACTCTAAATTGCTAAAAATCAAACCCTAATTTTCCTGTGTTTATATCCTAACTTATTGCAGCATAATATGTGTGATACATTGTTTACAGTTAACAGTTAACACTTCTTGAACGTTTACGACAAAAATATCTAAACAATCATACAAATAAATACACTTTTCATCTATGTCTTTTTTAAATCAGTTTAATATACGTTTTAAGGGGATACCAATCCTGGTCAAACTCTTTGCACTCACGTGCCTTTTATAGCCAATCAACGTTCGACGTAAATAATGAGCTTGCCTCTAGTCCCTTTAGTAAACCTGCATAACAGAGTGGAATAAAATATAAACAGTCTTTAATAATGTGCATTATGAGCAGTACGATATGTTTCATAATGCGATAATTTGAGTTAACTGGTTTACGACATTTCACAAAATCACCACAAAAGCATTTCACATCGGTACTGCACCACTGGGCGGAAGCGAAAGAACAGGATGGAAACATGGCCGCTGTGCTGAACAGACTGCCAGGTTCGGATTGTGTCAAAGTAAGTAAACCAGTGGCGACTTCATTTTTAAAAACTGGATAAATGCCATAGACGAGGAGCACGAATGAGGTTGGTTGTTTGTATCTGGGATATGTGTAATTTGTTACTACCGACGTGACTTTCCTCTAGGAAATAATCAGCAGTCACCGGGGGGACTCAGCTTGTTGTCCAAAGATCTAAATAATACTCGTACGATTCATAAACTCACTGCACAACATTAAGATGGCTTTGTCTCTGGTTCCAAGTTCAGGTCATTTTCAGTGGAATCTTTAGTTATGTGGTTTATCTGTGAAATACTCGCTAGGGAAGTGAACGACAAATCATCTGATTAGTTAGTTTGATATAAAACCAAACATTGGTACCGGGTTGTTTATCAATAAAAATGTATACACTTTAAACGGTATTAGGTTCAAATAATATTTAATTTAAAAACGTTTTTGTGTAAAGTAGCAAAATACAATTTTTAAATGTTTTGTGGCATCAGTTACACTTAAACGTGAACTGGTGACAACATAATAAACTGTACCTCACATGGAAAACACATATATGGTACTTGGAAGGGGTTTTCACCAAATTTGATTCCCAAGTTTAAGATTTAAACAAACAAACAAACAAACCAAAACCTTATGGCATTTGTTTTGCCGCCTTCAGCCCCACTTTGAAATTAGATTCATGTGACTAAATCATGTGAAATGCATACTGAAGATATTGAAACACCCAGCATTGACATGGCAGTAGTCAGTCATGTCATCAGCACTGCATTATTATTTCTGCTTATTATCTGGAAAGTATAGTAATCTAAACGGAACCTGCGTTCAGCCTTTTCCTAATGGAAAACAATAAGGGATAAATGGGTAGCCAAAAAAGTTAATCTTGTGGTTGCTGCTGAGATGTGCTTAAGGAAGTGGCAAGTCTAAATAAACATTACAAGCAAGTGTACTGTTAATAGTTGGAAAAGAAATAGATCAAATGACCATGCAGTAAGAAACCTTTTTACACAGAAAGTGTTTGTAAACTGTCATGTTGTCTGGTTTTCAGTTTTGCCACAGGGCAGTGGATGAACTGTGTGGCTCCAAGTCTTCTTGCAGAAGTGATACCGCTGATACCTTGAGTCTGAGCGAGAGCCTGAATGTGTTGGACTCACTGAAAGCCTTCTACACCCTGGCTGTGGTGAATAATTACTCTGATGAAGAGGTCAGAAAACTGCAGTGAACCATTAACATGACAGACTGTTAGCACACTTTGTAAACTTATGATTAGCGATGGCTGTATCTAATAGTCAGGATCGGTATCAATCTGATATTGGTTAAAATTTCAAGATTAAACGTCAGAAAAACACCTATAGCCCATCTGATTCGATACCTAAGCCCAAATGTTCAACTTCAGTTTGCACGACATGCTGTACACAGGAGCACAATCACTTCAGCAACAGTGGCCCTCGGCACGCTGGAGGAGGGAAAAAGATATTGGATTGATAACGGTATTGGAAGATACTCCAAGTTGCAGTATCGGTATCAGACATGAAAAGTTGTGTTGAGCCATCCCTACTTCTGATCAAAAAAAATGTGCTAAAATAAGACAGGAATTCATAATGAAATTGTGATTGCTTGAATATTAGACTTAATATTAGACCATCTCTCAGTATTTATGACCTATTGTGCCTTCGCAAGAAAGTAGAAGAAAAGATATCTTTGGAATTCTTTATGTTTAATAAATATATATATCCAAAAAAGACTCTATGTTGTCATGCAGGTGCTGGCTGGCATGACAGACTTGGACCACAGTCATACCAAGGCTTTGCTAAATGTCCTAAGAAGCAGAAAGGCAGAGATACATGCTGCGCTACTAGAAAAAACCAACTGCATCTCCTCGACATCCTTGCAAGATTTTGACTGGCAGCTGAAGGTAAAACAGTTACTTATGTCTTTATGGGAGGTGTCTTAACTGTAGAGGCTCTTAGATTAACAGAGACCACCTGTCCTCCTTTGGTCCTCTTCCTTCAGTTGGCTCTATCCAGCGACAACATCTCATCTCTGCAAACCCCTTTGGTCAGCCTTAATCTTAATGTAAAGAGAAACGGCCACGTAACGCCTGTTGCCATAGAGATGAACAGAGAGGAGTTAAACACACTCATCAGTTCATTGGAAGCGGCCAATAAGGTAGAAAATTATTATTAATTTCATGATTGATTTGTGTCTTTGTTTGCGTCTTTAACTTTTATGAAAATCTCATTTGTTTTTTTTTTTGCATACACACATTCATACCTATGGTCAATTTACCGTGTCTGATCAACCTAGTCCCCTATTATGTTTGAGTAATTCTAATCCATGTCTCATCCTATCATTGCCCCCAGTAATAAAAGTTAAACCATAAATAAATTAAATATAAAAAATGAGCCAGTCTTTTGGACGGCTCCCTGAAAGGAACAGATCCACATGGTTTGTCTCCTTTATAAGACGTGTAACTCACAGCCCTTGATGAAACAGCAGGGTTAAAGTAGCTGCATGATTAGGAACATAACTTGTTGACCAAAGTGAGCTTTATGCAACACACTTTTGCAAGACCAATCACAGCAAGACACAAGCCAGTTATAATCCACCAGTAAGCTCTTTTCCAGATGTAATTTTCAAAGCAGATAAAGGTACAAAGGTGTGCTGCTTATGCTTTTATGAAAAAAAAAAAAAACAGGTAATGTTAGTGGCCATGGAAACAGTGTAGCAAAAAAAAAGCCAACGTACAATATTTCCTGGACAGTGTGTAATTTTGTTGCCATGCTGTAAAAAAAAAACTGCTTTAATCCACACATTTTAAATGTTTATTACATAAGTCATCAGTTACTCAAAAAAAAATCTCTATATTGCTGTTGTTTGCAGGTGGTACTGCATTTGATATGAAGGAGAGACAATGGGTGCTGGCAGGAACCTGCAGTAACTGGATGAAAGCTTCCAGCTCTCATGTTTTTATTTATCCAATTTACGATAGCTAGTGCTCTCCATTTTGACTATATTTGTGCAGATATAAAAGTGTAATTACCATCTGATGTGGCATTAAAGAAAGTGTAAAGAATAAGCATTGTTTTTTTTTATGTTGTTCCAGAGGTACCTCTGGCATGATGATGTCATAATCTCAGTATCGCCTGTTATCAAGCTGCTCTGATACTTAAGCTAGCATGTAACTAGCTAGCACAAAATGGGCCGTTTTCTGACAGTGCTGACAACATATTGGTTAATAATGTTCTTATGCTAAACAAATGTGATGTTCATCGAATAGGGAATAAATGTAAATGAGTTCAAGACAATAAAATTGACTATGTCATGTTATTTGCCAGATTATAGTCATAAATTAGGTATATTTTATTTTACAGAGTTTGCTTATTGACGAAAGTTGGTCCAGCAAATGGTATTTTGTGAACCATCCACAAATGAAACGTACAGTGCTTAAACAAAAGAAGGTTAGGGATTAAATAAATACTTGACCTTTTACTGGAGCAACAATCAACAATATCTGCATTTGTAATGATATCTAACATACAGTATATTTACAACAGAAAATAAAGAAAAATCTATTAAAACTCCTGGTTCACTTAACTTCTGATGTATTAATTTTTTAGTCTCATTAATCTGTGTATCCCAAAATACAACATGTGACTAAATCTATAAAGCAGTTTCAAATTGTTGAAAATCCTTCAAGGAGGTCACAGGCTGGTGTCAGCAGTCTTCATCTTTTGGGTGCTTAAAGTGTTTGCTGTTTCCAGTGAGGCATCCCTGCAGAAGAACACCGTTGGGTTTTTAGAAGCCCACATAGCCACCTCTCCCTCTTTTCCAGGACTTGAACTAGAAAGGCGGCTTGTGTTATTTAACCCAATGCGACTCAAGTAGCGGTCTCTTATCCTCTCCACTTGATTGAGCTGTATTCCACGGCGGTGGTTTTGACTTGAGAGGTACCCAGCAATATTTCTCGTGCGATAGCCTTCTTCCCTGCTCCGACCCATTAACATAGATATGTTGGGGTTTCTCAGCGCGTAGATCAGTGGATTGATGGCTCCGTTTGCCCATGCTAGCCAGATGGCCAGAGTATCCATTGCCGGATTAAATTTGTAGTCTCCCATTGCTGTAACCAACCCCATTAAACAATATGGACCCCAGCAAAATATGATGAAAACAATCATAATGAGGACAGTTGTGGCTGTTCGCATTTCACTGTAAAATCTCAGTAAGTATGCATAAGTGGTCACTGGCCTGACTCGGATTTCTGACAACCGCACTGTCTTACAGATGTTATAATGGCAGAAGCACATGAGTGAGAATGGCAGTAAGTAAAAAACAACAATGAGGCAGATACTGTAAGTTGTCCCCATGCGTGACGTTCCAGAGTGGAACACATACATACAATGGTAGAATCCTTGCTTATGTATTTCCGACGGTGTCCGAACTAACAGATACCAAGGTAAAGAGAAAATCACAGCAGTCAACCAGACTGCTATCAGCAACTGGATCGCTTTCTGGCGTCCTATTTTAGCCTGTGGTTGTCGAACTATGGCATTGTATCTGTCAAAGGAGATTAGGGTCATAGTCAAAGTAGAAATTATACCAGAGCACGTATTGAAAAAGCCATTGGCCACGCAGAAGTGGTCACTGAACATCCAGACGCCATCCTTGCTGAAGAGCATCACAAAGGAAAAAGGCAGGCAGAGGACGGCAGTGAGGAAATCAGAGAGCGACAGTGACATGATAAAAGCATTGGTCACTGTCCTAAGCTGTCTATGTTTAATGATGACGATGACAACTGCAGAGTTGCCGAGGCTGGAGAGGAGAAAGATGGAGAGAAGCACGAGCGCTTGAGCTACCACTATAAAAACCTGTAAGACGGAGTTGCTCTCTGCAGAGCTTAGCAGCGTCGCCTGATGGGTTTGACCTGCCTCGGTTACTCTTTCATCTCTGTAGGTCGAAAGGTTTCTTGTGGTTCCAATTGTAGCCTCTGGGGTAGAGGTCACCAAGTTGGTCACTAATGAAACAATCCTGAAAGACCAGACGAGAAAAAAAGGTTTGATTTTCAAAAACTTTGCAGAGATTGAATATTTTATTCACATTCATAACGATGTGCTGGGTGGGTATTATACAACAAACACTAACATGTAATGTATCTAAGAGAAAAACTGATCGGCTCCATGACAGAAGAAGCTACCTTGGCACAGCAGGTGAGGAGATGAGCGGCTGGTCAGTGAAACCCAGCCTGGACACAGCTGCTGAGTTGTTGCTTCCCCACAGGGCTGGGTTGACTTGTAAATCCATCATTGTTGTGTAAAACCATGCAGCAAAAGCAGGTCACAACCTCAGTTTGTGGTGCATCAGTGAAGGTTTTCTAAATTTAGGCATGGGTCCTGACTGGTCTTCTTCCATCCTCCTCAATCCATAACTATATTTCTTATGTCCATGTTGTATCTATAGATATAAAAGACAGGGACAATCAAACCTGTGTGAATCCAGAATGGATAAAAAGGTTTATTATAATCCACAGTCCAAGTTTTGGTTTATAAGAGTTTATAAGAAATATAGTAGAAAATCAGGCATTTGCAGATATATGTTTTCACAGATTAAATTAATAAATAAACATTCACACATTCACAAAAAATGTTATTGTTTTCAATGTCTGAAATTTTGATTCAGCCTAGAAAAGTAATGTGTTGCATAAAAGAAACATGCTAATACTGTAGCATGTGCACGAGTGTGCGATAACAATGCAAAAGCTTTGGACCACATGCATTTCAGGACTAGGCACTGTGGTATTGTGTATTCATTTTCATGTTAATTTAATGGGGGCGAAACATGCACCGCCACAGAAACCAGAAAAATTGAATGTATATGAGACGTCTAGCTTCAGCTAATTCGCAGTCTTTGTCCATGGTCAGGCTTTAGAATAGAATAAAAAATACTGACAAAATAAATAAATAAAAAATACAGTGAATAAGTACAACTGGGCATTGGACAATGGCCTTTGGAAATGGCTACAATCACATTTCTATAGTTGCTGGGTAAGGACAGTGGCCGCTGACTTCAGGTGCTGGAATTGTTCCGAGTAAACTTCGAATATAATGAAATGGGATGGAATTACTAAGAATACTTAACAAAGTTTTACATCAAGTTGTGTTTTGTCATATTAAGTCTTAATTTTGTCAACGTCAATTTGTGGGAATAACTTCTCAGTTTCTGTTTTTTTTAAAACCCACCTAGGAGACATTTATGATTTGTTACATGTGTTTGCATAAAATTGTAAAATATAAATTGAATACAAACAATAAAAAAGGCTCCGGCAGACCAACTGAACTGCACCGCTGTAGAACTGAACCGCGGCCATATATCTGAATACACCAGTGCACATATTGAACATGAACACATTAAAGCAGTCCTTAAATGTATCACGAGAGTCCGTAAAATCAGAACAGAAGACTTGTCAACGTACCACAGCAAAGCCGACGAATCTTTACGGTATCAAACAGCTGCATAAGGTCCTGCCCTGTAAGAAAAGGGAAAAAAGCCAATATAGAAGAGGCGGATAAATCAATTCTATCGTCCTCCTGGTGTGGTCATTGACGTCAGCACTCCGCGGATAATGTTCACTTCTTTAAACGAAGACTATTACTGTTAAACAAAAACAAAAAACAACAACAACAAAAAACCCCAAACCAAAACAAACGGTGGTTATTTATGCTCCCGTTTCTCCGCCGTTCTCTTCGTTTTTTTCTTTTCGAAGACACGCCCTCCGACGTTTAACAGTTGTCATGGTAACTGATGATGGCGATTTTCTGGAGCGCTTTTTTGTAGATATGGAAAATGTACTGTTTATATATATATATGAATTTCTAACAATATGCACAGCAAAAAAACACTTGCAGAGGTCAATATTGAAATAATAATTAGAAACAGTTCTTTGTGAAATACCAGTTCTTAAACCTCAAATATAAAGATTGCCCAAACCTTTAAGGAATACATGGAATGACGGAATATTTTTTCTGTCTGCTTGAAGACTAAAGCAGCAGCTTAGCGTTGTGGCCGACGGTGGCAGTAGTAACACAAATCTGCTCCTAATGCACCCAGGGAGAAAGTAGAAGAAGAAGTCGTGATGCGCACGGACTTCCTGTTTGTGTTTCTTAATTTTTATCCACATCCGGCCCATGTAGCCCACGGTGATTGCGGCACTGTAGAGAGCTGTTTTCGTTTGAGCTTTAATCTCGCCAAAAATGAGTAAGTGAAGCATGATTTATGTTAAATAATGCAATACCAACGCAGTCTGTCGTTAGCATTTCCACTTCAAGTAAAATATATAACACATTTTGCCGGTACCATAATACAAGCTACATGTCAACTACCCGGCCCACAAAGTCCCTCTTACCGAATTATACACATAAACACATTTGTTAAGCCTTTCAAAAAACAAGTTCAACGCCTCAAACGTTTACTTCGTGTAAAAGCTGCGAGATGCACATAGTGTCATAAATCATTTAATTCAGTTTCGCGAATTCTTACCAGTGCCAATTTTAGAATGCCTTCGTTTTTATACAATAAAACCGGTGGTGTAAAAAAAGAATGCCTTCGTTTTTATACAATAAAAACCGTTAAATGGTGATGACGTCACCATCTGCTTTATAGCGATATGGTCGCTGCTTCTTTCCCCCGTAGTTACTGATGATCTTTCTGTGTTGACGGTGTGCGTGGGGTTCAACCCACATCTTCCAAAAGGATATATACATTTATTTTATAGAGTCAGTGAGGCTTTACCCAGTAATTAGATGGGTCTAGATAAAAACTGCTGGCATTCCTTCAAATAAATCGAATTAATTACTGCCAGTGGCTGCAATACGTTTTCAATTGTAAAACGATTTGAGAGTCGTGAAATGTGAACGAATGACTATGTAACCTTTTTCTTAATTTAATTTGCACGAATGTCAGGACTCTGACAGCTAAATATCAATGATACATTAAGCTACAAATAAAATATCTATATACTTTAAGTAGTTAAGCGTGCCTCTACCACAGGGGCTCAGGTTAATAGCTGTTATACTTATTTGTAGTTTCACGCAGAAAAACATCAGTAACATTCAGTCTGTACCCATTTTTAAATCCTTCCTGAAACATGCACTGTAGCTAATTGGACTGGGAGTCACTTACATAATTTTTACACTGTCTTGATGTTGTTACTGGTTCTGTTTGTGTGATTGTGTAATTTGACCTTGACCTCGACCTCAAACCATCCCTGTTAATTATATTTTGTGAAAAGGCTAAAAAAAGATTGTAATTGAGTTTTTTGATGTACATTATTGTGCAAAAGTTTGGGTGGGTTATGGTGAGATTTTCTAAATGTATGTCAGATGCAGAGGTACTCACTGAGTATCACTCTCTCCGTGTTTCAATAAACAAATCAACATCATCATGATGAAGTCTAAACATAAAAGTGGTGATGTGTAAAGTAGGGATGGCTCAATACAACATTTCATGTCTGATATCTATACAGCAACTTGGACTATCTGCTGATACTGATATCAATCCGATACTCCAATATTGCACCGATACTGATACTATGTATCGGATAGGGCCATCCATAAGGTAAACTGGTCATCGGTACACTGTGCTCTCAAACTGAGAACAGCTATGCTGTGTCATCAGGTGTTGTGTGAAATTGCTTAAGACTTACTGAAAGCCTTACTGCTGTCTTGTCACTCTTGTTGTTAAACTACCTCCCAACTGCTGACTTAGGTAAACTACCCATGATGGCAGTGAGACACTGAACTACAGTTGGAAAATGCTCGACACAGGACATAATTGTTAATTTCACACGCATCAGCTCAAATGGGCTACTTTCAACCACAGTATACATGAGTCATTGTTTGAAAATAATTAAATGGGGTAAAAAGAGTAAACCAATTTCCACTTTTTCTGTCAGTAGTACCTGCTGTCTTGTTTATAAAATGTTTATTGTTTCAGCGGTGGCCATAAGCTCAACATGTCCAGGCCTGTACTGTGGTAGAATAATAACAAATGGATCAGTGGAGGGAGAATGTGGGGTGAGTATCAAGTGGATAAATCATATCTACAGTTGTGCACAACAAATGTAGCATTCATTGTTTTACTTATTAATTTGATTTCATACCTGATCATTCTATTTAGTCTAGTAAATAAAGGTAATGAAAAATAAAACATTGTGCTTGTGTCTGTACAAAATGCACTTTCATGTAGGATTGCAAATAACTGATAGTTGTTTTTTTTAAGAAATAATGATTTGTTTTGTTAATGTTGACCTGAGGATGAAAATGGTCTTTTCTTTCTTTTTTAAGAGCAGCTCTATGTTCATAGGACAGAGGACAAATGTATTAATAAAATAAAAAACAGACAAAGAACACTTTGTAGTCAAGATTTACAGCCCTTAAGCGAGTGATCCCCAACCTTTTTTGGCTTGTGACCCCATTTTGACAATGCATATTTCTGTTCCAGATGCTTTTTTTCTAGAAATATTTTTTGTGTTTATGTTTGTTAAACTGTAATGCAAATACAGAGTGAAGGTGAAAGAATACAGTTTTTAGGATTGTGTGTGGTGGTTTTTTTAATCACAATTTAAAAAGAATTAGTTGAAAAGTAGTTTTATCAGTCATTTGTGTGATTCAGACCCAAAGCTTGAAAAGAACTGAATTAAATAAATTATTCTATAAATATATTATATAAATAACCTCAAATGTTGTGCTAATGTTCTATAAATTGCTACGGTGTTGTCGTCCTTTGACATGGACAAAAAATGGGAAAAAAAAATGTATGACTTGGCAAAGGTTAGCTGTTTTTAGCTCCAAGATTAATGGCTCTGTTGGGATGCAAGAGTAGGCTTTCTGCTTAGTGTTTTTATTTGTCAGTTAGCTTGTGTTCTAAATGGAATATAAAAATGAGAACATTTCTGGCTGTTAGTTGAGCAGATGTCAGGGTACTGTACTGATATCTGTGAGCAGTGGATAGCATTAGAATAGAATAGTCCTTATTGAACGGCATGGCATCATTAGATCATTAGAAACTGCTAATTTGTCTTTTCTGTAATGTTTTTTACAAGGTGTGTCCTCGTGGGGAGAGAGCCAACCTCCAGAAGATTTGTGAACGCTGTACCAAGTCCCCAGAACTCTATGACTGGCTTTATCTTGGTTTCATGGCCATGTTGCCCCTGGTGCTGCATTGGTTCTTCATTGAGTGGTATTCTGGGAAAAAGAGGTGGGGAGATGCACTTTTTTTTACATTGACCTTTACTAGAATTCAGCTGTTCAATTAAGGGCATTTTAACTCGGGATGTCCAATGTTAACTTTTTGCCAATATCTGATATCAACTTCCGATTCCGATATCAACCAATACCGATAGAGGCCCGGTAATAATTATTTATTTATTTATCTGTACCAACCACTGTATGAGTTGCTGACACCAGCATTCTCAATTAAATGAGCTGCAATGCTGCCATCTAGTGACATTCACGTTTTTTCGCTTTCATTATTGTAGAAAAAAACATAAAGATTCTTGGAGATATTAAATAATTATGCTAATATCGGGCTGATAATATCGTCTGACCGTTATTATCAGCCATCCCTAATTTTAACTAAATGAACCTTGAAACGAGTCAATCCAATCGTTTTTAAAATCAGTTAAAATAGTCAGGACACAGCACTGCTGTACAGAAGCGTGCAACATTCTGACACTCAGGGGTTGCTTTACCTCACACGTTTACTAAAAGACTTTGTAATTGCTCATACAAACCCAGTGGGTAATCTGGTCTAACTACTGAGTAGTAGGGCACATCTGTCCATTTTTAAAAACAATCTTACTTCTTTTGTAGACGATGATGTTGGGCAGTTTCTTTAGTGAAAACCCAAAGATTTACAGTAATATAAATGCTCTAACACTCACTTATACCTTGATTTAAATGATTATAACTTTGATTACCTCTTTATTTTAGAACTTTCAAAATGATTGTAATTCCTTTGACGTTATAGCTTTAATACTGTTAAAATATTTTTAATAACCAGCTAAAGAAACTGTTAATCAGTAACAGACTGCCCAGGCAAGATGTTTTTTGTTATTTTCATGACCAAGTTGTGACACTCTCCTTTACCCGCTTGTGTGAAAATTAAATGATGTCTGTGTGTTTTAATTGGTTAAAAAAAATCACACAAAGTATATTGGAGTAAATATATATATAGTAAGTATATATTTATAAAAAAAAAAATCTGGTGTCGCCCATCACCACTGTATATCAGCATAGTTGGTTAAAGAGCCTGTCTGGTAAACAGGAGATCCTGGGTTCAAAACTCAGTAGTGCCGTTATTAAGGTTTCCAGTATGTACAGGCGTGTGTAATACTGTGGTAGAAATCCTGCCCTTTTTTTCCCTTAAATACAGTATCCTGAGAACTTACAAGAGATTAATAAAGTTGTTTAAAGTGTTTGTTTTGTTTAATGAAGAACTTCAGTTCTGACGTGTTTCATTGTGTGTTTCAGTTCAAGTGCTCTTCTGCAGCACCTTATCGCCATGTTGGAGTGCAGCGTGTCCGCAGTCTTCACTCTGCTGGTCACAGAGCCAGTGGGCAATTTTAGCATCCGTTCCTGTGGCGTCCAGATGCTGTCAGACTGGTACACAATGCTGTACAACCCAAGCCCAGACTACATAAACACAGTACACTGCACCCAGGAGGCCGTCTATCCACTGCAAGTGTTACTCTTACTTTGAACTTTTCAAATTATGACTGTCCTAATTAAAAATAACAGTTTTAAGATCTTTGGAGCAACAATGGATACATTGTTTCCACTTGGAGAAACTGATCTGTCTGAACTGTAATGATGTCAGCTTAACTGTTCATGTTTACCTATTCTTTATTTCCACTACTTTTTCTGCTCCTCAGGTACACCATTGTGTTAATTTACTATGCCTTTTGCCTGGTACTCATGATGCTCCTCCGCCCCCTGTTGGTAAAAAAGATAGCTTGCGGTCTGGGCAAATCGGACCGCTTTAAAAGCATTTATGCCGCTCTCTACTTCTTCCCTATCCTGACTGTACTGCAGGCTGTTGGAGGAGGACTGCTCTGTAAGTTAGTTTCATTCACAGGTACCAGTAACTGAGTATGCAACTAGTGGCATAGAGTGCGGAAACAAGAATGCTCATTGCACTATGGGAGTTCTCCTAGCAGACAAGGCCTACAGCAGCAGAACTAAGGCCTAGCTTAGTTAAGTTATGCTCATAAAATTGAATTGATTGAAATTTGATTGGAATCTGTTTTCAGTTTGAACGAGGGTTTTCTTTGTAATTTACTTGTGATAAAAACCAAATTATGTCGATTTTATTTAGAAAAGCAGCAACAGTGCTTCCCATAGTGTAAATGAAAAAATCGTTCATCTCCCCGTATCCCAACGACTGACGAACATGCATGTTGCCCTGCCCAGAGGCTGATTACAAATGTGTGATGGGCTAACTGACAGATTAGAGATGGTGAAATACATTTATTTTTATGGTGAAACGAGACAGTGCCAGGCTGCCACATTCTTGGCAATTACTGAAATTACGGTTTAATCATAATAAGCATTGTGGCTTTTTTTTTTTTTTCAGACTACGCGTTTCCTTACTTAATGCTGGTTCTATCTTTGGTAACGTTGGCCGTTTACATGTCAGCCTCAGAGATACAGGTAATCACACTCTATACGTATGTATTTACAATGTCTGGAATTTTATATTAATGCTTATAGAGGTAGTTCATGGTAAATACAGTGTGGTTGTATGAATGAATGACACATGGTCATACATTTCTGTGTATTAAAAGTCCTCTGTGACCCAGAGACACGGTGAGCTTATGTGTCTTAGGTTGTTGTAGAAGTTATTTGTTGTATTGAATTATTCTTACTGTCACAGTAAGAATGTAATTGTTCAGTCAGGGGACTAAAATGTCTAAAACGTTTTTCCCAACAGTTTTTGTTGTCGATAACACTTTGATGTAAAAAATACAATTGAGCCAAAAGTAAAGAGAGGTTCACCTCTCTTTACTTTTGGCTCAATTTTATTTTTGTTCTGTGGTTGTAGTGGGCACTGTGTGTCAAAGTGTTATACAACCCAGATAAAATAGATGTTTTTAACAAAAAACAAACACAAAAACCCCTGCCTTCCTCACGTCTTGTCACTTTGTTTCCAACAGTCTTTTAAAAATCTTCTGGCCAAGAAGAAGCGTCTTGTGGTTTTATTCAGCCACTGGCTGCTGCACGCATATGGCATTATCTCCATTTCCCGATTGGACAAGCTGGAGCAGGACCTACCTCTGCTGGCTCTTGTGCCTGGCCCCGCCCTTTTCTACATTGCAACAGCAAAGTTTACAGAACCAAGCCGGATCCTGTCTGAGGCTGGCAACGGACACTAAGGTGCTTTTAACTGGAAGTATTTGCATATTCTATATCCTCACATTTGACAGACTACTCGCAATGTGTTTGTGATTCCTGATTCACTCTCTGGACTTAACTAACTCAACTACTTTATTGATTGTATATAAGTTAAGAGTTTTGTTTTTAGCACCAAACAGGCTGGGTTTTAAAACCTCAAATTTGATGACCAAGGGATTCTGTGTCAAAATTGCTGAACTGTATGTTGCCTATTTTCAAACCACTGGGCACAATTTGATTTTGCTTAATCGTCCTCCTAATATAATCTCTACCAAAATGGGCCTTTCCCAATGTTGTCTCAATGACGGCGTCTCAATGGAAAGTCATAACACATATCAACTGCTATAACTCAGTTGTATTTAGCTTTTTTGATATTGGAAATTCCCTTTTCAGTCATTCCCAAGCAACATAAACCCATCAAAGGACTAAAAACTCAGTAAAGTGAGCGGCACAAAGAAGGTTTATAACATCAAGCTCCCAATGATTTCACATAACAAGTAAGTGTCAATGTTTGGTGTTATGTCAGTTAAAGTAAAGGCTGAACGTTGAATATCAGACTTTTGTGAATATCAATGTGTTGTACAGCAGGCTTTACATCTTATCATCATCATTATCATATTGATACTAGGGCTGAACAATTAATTGCATTTGAAATAATATAGTGAGAACATAAAACGCAGCGCCTGACGTGGTGTTAGGTTTTATGCAGAGCATTCAGTGCCTACTAGTGATGGGTGATACCAGATTTTTTGATTCTGATACTGATGACTTTTGTTTGCTTTTTTTTTTTCATTATTGATACCAATATTTTGTGTGATTTTTTTTTTTTAACCAATAAAGCACATGACAAATACTGGCCATTTAGTACAATGACAATAAAGACTAGTCTATTCATAAAGAATGACATTATTTTTACACTGTGTGACCTAAGTAATTAAATTACTACCATTAAGGCACAATTACTGCTCTCTCCGGTCAGTGGTCACATGACACAAATGGATCAGTTCAATGTTACCAGGGAGGATAGTGGGTGCTGCAGCACAAAATCCTGTATGTAGTAAGTTACCCTAAAAAAGTTGTGAAAAGAGGTTGAAATATTTAAGTGTATCACCTCTCAACTTTGGGTTACAGTTTATAACTATATATATATATATTACTTATATATTAAGTAACTATAATTATACATTAAGATATGCCAGGTTAATATACATCAGGGGTCACATCAGGGGCACCAGGTACCCCACCGGACTACCTAAGGTGCCTGTGGGGTATGTTCTAAAAGTAAAACTAGTCAATAAGAGGGTAAAAAAAAATCAGTTCCACCTGCAATGATCTTCAAATGGGTCCAATGACTATGGTAAGAAGAGTGTCTGCTATTGTGTGTCCCAGAACTGATTATTATTACACTGTTCAGGAAGTCTGTATCAGACAAGTAGCTCTTTGTAAGTACTACGTGCCCTTGAAATAGCCCTCAGTTTCAAAAAGGTTGGTGACCCCTGATATACATTATAACTAGGGTTGTCCGATAAAATCGGCCAAACGATATTACCGGCCCGATATTAGCATAATTTGTAATATCTGTAAGAATCGTTACTGGTTTTTCTCCCAACATTGAAAACCTGATAACACAAAGCCTGGGTTTCCCGAAATCATGTTCTCTAAAAATAGTTTAATCCTCCGGTGACTGACCAATCAGGTCCCTCAGTGCTCTGAAGAATTTTATTTGAAACATAATTGCAGTAACTCGTTCTAAACTCAACCCAGCTTCTCCAAAAACGCTTTTTTTCTCTTCACACTTTCCACACTCTCCCTCACACACACACACACACACATACACCCCATCTCTTCAATTCCCCAGCCACCTGTAACTAAAGCTTGCCTATAATAAAATAAGGAACTTGTGACACTTGCAGACATGTAATTTAAATTTAAATAATGTGCAGACGATAAGGTCACATACAGTAGGTACAATTATATCTAGATGTATATCAGCAGGAGCTATTGGTAATAAATAACATACAATAGGTTATCAGTTTAACATGTCATAGACCTTAAGTATTTTGTGCTCATTTTACAATCTCCCATCGATCGATTTACATTTAGGCATTAAGCAGATCTTTGTATCCAAGGGTCTAACAGAGGAGGATAAACATTATCAAGCATGTGGGAGCTCTGGAAATCGAACCCAGGGCTCTCTGCTTCCGAGGCAGGCTAACCACTACACTATGGAACGATAGATGTAACTTCATCCCTCAGGAGTTCCCTTTATGAAATTATGCTGAATAAACAAAAATAATATATGAAAATTGCAGATATAAACAAAAATAATATATGAAAATTGCTGATAGATGATACTTTCTGCACAGTTGTGACACGTTACAGAATGTACAATTTAGCATCAGTGATGGCTCATTTTGATTTACTGAGCAGAGTGGGGCATGATGAAATAGATGTAAGGTTTTGGAAATCCATTAAATGTGCTAAACAAACTAATGCTATAGGCACCCCTGTTTTCAAAGAGCAGCCAGTCCCCCACTTGAAGTTCAGGCAGGTAACAGCACTCAGAAATGATGTCACGGCTGTTACATGTTTGGCCCCAGATACAGCAGGGAAACAAGACTTCATCTTTCTTTATTTTCTGGAGGCATAAAGAGAGACGGGCATAATTAGATTTACTACTTAACAAAAAAAGAGTGACAGTTTTAAGTTACTTTTTAAACTTAGTTTTAGTGTTACCCTGTGTGGTCTTGCTAACAATTCATCAGGAGTACTAAAAGTAAAAGATGTGTGTAATCCATCATTGACATAGTACACCAGATTCCTGTCACTGGTCTCTTTGTTTTTTTCTGTGGAGACATGAAATGTTATTAAACTGCTGCAAAAATAAGATTACACGTTATGTGTGGTCATATCACCATGTGTCTGTGGGGGGCGATATTCACACATCACTGAAGCAATTCAAGTCCCTGCTACGGCTTTAATGCAAAACAAGAAGCAGAGAGCATGGTAAACACGTCTTCCCTTTCTTTCGGCTTTGTCCCTTTTTTTCAGGGGTTGCCACAGCGAATCATTGATTTCCATCTCTCCCTGTTCTCTGTAGCTGCTACTCTGACTCCAACTCTCTGCATGTCCTCCCTCACTGCATCCATATATCTCCTCTTTGGCCTTCCTCTTTGTCTCCTACTTGGTAGCTCCATCTCTAACATTCTTCTACCAATGTATCCACTGTCCCTCCTCTGCACATGTCCAAACCATCTCAATCTGGCTTCTCTAGCTTTTTCTCCAAACCTTCCTGTCTTTCTAACTTCATTCTTTCTAACCTGGTCTACCTTCTTCCTAATAGTCTCTGGTTCCTCGTTTCTACTTTCCCTTTCATTTTCCTCATTCAACAACTCCTCAAAGTATTCCTTCCATCTTCTCAGCACACTTTCCTCACTTGTGATCACATTCCC